TAGTCCATAGTTTTATCCAGGTTTAATATTCATGCGTAGATTAATATTTGCCAAATTTTTACTGCAGCTTCATGTTTTGAAAATTTTATCACCATCCCACCCCAGTATAAGTCCAAATATTTTCAAAATGTGAAAGAAAAAATAAAAGGAAAAGAAGTGCAGATGGTGCCTTTTTGTTTGGTAAACGGAGAGAATACCAGACAGCAACCTTGAAGAGAGTGATATGAGGCAGCGGGGAGAATGAAGTAGCCTCTAAAAGGCATCTATTCACAATTACTACAGATAACCCACTGAATCTGCCAGATTTCCAGAACTGCTATAAGGCAATTGTTTTGGGAACTTCTTTGGAGTAAAATTAAGCAGTCACTTGGAAAAGTTAAGTTTGAGATGAATTTCTTAAAGCTTTAGAAATATTTTCACTTGATTCACTCAAATCTATACAATCTTTTAGTCAGGAAGCAAATATCAGAATAATTGGGGCACTACAAAGATATTTATTCAATATTTAATGATGCAAAACTTAACTTTAATAGAAAATCACAATATACAAGAATATGTAGGAAATTAGTAAGTGAGCAATAGACACATAGTAATATCTAAAAGGGACAGCTGAAAAAATGGCTGCTAAGTCCATTATAATAAAATGTCTGTTATCCCGCTTAATTTAGGATCACCCTCAGGACTGAAAAGTATCCAGCTAACTGAAACTATAGCTGCATACAGAAGTAGCTGACTTTAACTTGTGATCATCCTTTATAAATCTTTTTGCCCCATTCTATACTGCCAATCGTTTAGGAGCTTATTACAATTTGTATATCATTACAAATACTAACTGTGCTATTATTTTCATTATACCATGGAAGCAGCTCTTTTAAATACCAAGTAAAGAAAGCAGTCTGTCTGCACCTTTCATCTTCATGCTTGCAAGTTTCATCCCCACCTCTTCAAGAACAATGTGTATTTGTTGACCAGGTGCACTCAGACCCTGTCCAAAAGCAATTACCATTTGATTCAGGTAAATGACAAGATATAAGGCTGATAGCTTACCGGTGCTGCCAACTGTGTTGCTGGCATCATCCCGGCCATTGGCATAAGTCCAATATCTTGGATCTTGAGAGTTTTCTGTAAACATAGAAAACATCTTTTTATCCATCTTTTATATCACTTGTAATACTGAAGTAGGGATTATAACCCACAGTACCACACTCCATCTCTATAAGGAAAAAGAAGCTACAAACAACAGGAAGCATCTACTACAACTTTTTCATCTTTGCTCTATTAATCACTCAGTTTCTAATGTAAAAATGGTACCTTTAGCAACTCATTGAGGTCAGAGATCTCCAGGAGAGTCAGGTTAGCTATGTCCTGAACTAGCTGCTGAATCTTTGGTGAATATTCTTTTGGGGCATCATCCATACGCGGACTTGCTAAAACTTCACTACACTTTGAACATGTAGTCTTCAGCATCCGGATAGCACAAGCTTGTGATCGATGCTGCCTGTAGAAAATCAGACAACAAAAGTTACAGTTCACATTTCCCAACACACAGGTACATGCAAATGAAAAATATCTGTTGAACAGATGAAGAATGGACGGATAACAAGGAAAGACCAATCAAGATGGCTGGGGGAGAACAACAGTATGAATTGGTGCATATGCTATTGGAAAGAAAGAAAAGTCTTCCCCAGCCATTTTATTAGCAAATTTTGACAAATTCCATTTTAGAAATAGCCCAGTTTCAGAAATAATAGCTATTTTCAATAGCCTGAAATATTACATGGTAGGAGCTTTATAATGACTAAGTTTCCAATTGCAAAAGGTAAGTTCAAGTAGTTTAAAATAGTCAACCAAAAGATAAACTATAATATACTGTAGCATAGGTCAAATTTTTCAATTTTGCATGATATATATATATATATTTTACAAAACTTAAATCTGTTCTGCTAGCATGCTTCAACATGACAAAGTAAGGACAGACTATTTTTAATAATTAGGAATTAATGAGGGTAAATTTATTTTTAAATGTGCATTTTTATTCATGATGATAAGAGATTCCTCAGACAAAATAGGCCTGCTTTAATTCAGTATTTTTTTGCAACAATAGCAAACAAGCATTGATTGATCTATTAGGACTTATTTATGGATATTACCTGGACACACCCATTCTCTACTGGCCAGAGCCCCAAGTCACGAAGTTTCTGGTTCAGATCTCACCCCAGCTTACAGGAGTCCACCCACCATCAGGTTCTGCCCCCTTAGCAAGTTGGGGTAACAGAGCTGACCTTTCAGGGATGCTTCAAGACTTATCAAAAAGTAAATTCTCCCTCCACGCATCGAGGGGGCTGAAGAGTTGTTTAGAGAGAGCCAAAGAAATCTCCGCCCCCCCCCCCCCCTGCAATTATACGCGCACCACCAAGCAAGGGCTCCGTCTGCAGAAGCGAGGCAGGCGTATGACCTTTATTTGGGCGTTCAGGCCTCTTAGTTCGCCCCCACCCGCTTCCCCTTCGTTTGCGGCATCGGTCGCCTAGGCCTACGTACCGCAGGAACAGTCGGAGAGCGGTACCGAGTCCGGCCGCGGGAAACATGGCCATATCGGCGGCTGCGAAAGGCGGCAGGAAGGAAACACCGACGGTCCCCTGTTTCTGCAGCGTGCACACCGCAAAGGGCGCCGGGGACGCTCTCTCCGAGCATCTCTGTGGTTAAACGAAACGTCCAATCTCCGCCGACTTCGACTCTCTGTGATGTACAGAGCGTTTACACAGCCTTGCGTCTCGATGGTGAGCGGATGTGACGATTCAAAGCCCGTCTACCGTACCATGTTAGAAAGGATAACTACGGGAACCGGAAGCCCGTTTTCCACAGAGCCAAACTTTGTTACCCAGCTGGCCTTGCGACGCTCGGCGAACAAAGTGAAACTAAGTAATATTTGCAACTAAAGAATATTCCGTAATTCGGAGGTTTAAGCGGAAAAAAAGCCTGACTAGGTGGCTCAGTGGCTAAGACACTCAGCTTGTCAATCAGAAAGGTCGGCGGCTCGAATCCCTAGTACAGGTCTCCCTGCGTGAGCGGGGGGTTGGACTAGATGACCTCCAAGGTCCCTTTCAACTGTGTTACTGTAACTGTAAAGAACTCCAAGCTAGGGTTTGAGTGCACAGGCGGACGAGTGAGGCTCCGCGAAGGGTTTACACTACAGCAGTGTTTCCCAAACTTGGCTATTTTAAGATGCATGGACTTCAATTCCCAGAATTCCCCAACCAGTATGCCTGGTTGAGGAATTCTGGGAGTTGAAGTCCATACATCTTCAAAGGGTCAAGTTTGGGAAACATTGCACTACAGGATGGAAGGCTAATTTACGATTTACTGTGTGAGCCTCAACAGCTCCGCAATGCAGGACTAATTTAAAATTTTTCCCGAGGCAGTGAAGTCAACAAATGAGACACGAGATAGTGAAGTAGATGGGAATTTTATTTCTATTATATTTGATTTGTTTAGCAGTAAACCAGTTACAATATCTTGAGAAAGTGGGCACACAGTTTGCCTGCGGTTCATCTTATAGCAGTCTTCTTTGGAACAAAGGTTTATTTCTGGAAGCACATTGCATTTGAGTTACCGTACTGTACTTGTTGGCACACAGTGATAAAAAAGTTATGTAGAGAGGTTTATGTTTCATACACAAAATGCTATTTGGGTGAAGACCAAGGAAAAAAAATCAGGGCATGAAGCACAGTCTGCCTTCTCGACATTGTTTTGTAATTTTTATCATCTAATTATCACCAACATGGTACAAAAATAAATATTAGTTTTGCCTTATTGCATATCCTGTTCATGGATACACTTATATATTGGGATTTGTAAGAATATTGCACTAATGGCCACTGTCCATTCATTACAGCATTAAAAAACAGTTAAACTAATTATTTTCCATAGCAGGAAGTTTTCTTAGCAGAAAGTATTCTTTCTAATGATTCTTCATTGCCAACAGCAGCCAGCTAACGCTGACTTTGAAAAAAACTAAGATTGGACCTGGTTAGTACTTGGGTAGATTAAAGCTGTAGGCTAAACTGGAAAGTTGAGAAAGGCAATGACAAACCACTTCTGTATTATTGTCAAGAATCACATGAAGTTGTCAGGAATTGGCTGAAGGAATCTTTTATTCACTTCCTTATAGAGTAATGGTAGCATTCAAAACACAAGTCCTGTCACAGAAGTACTATGTACCACTGAATTAGAAAAAACTTTCTAGGTGTATTTTAGGAATTCTATAATTCCCCTCAAAAATTTATTGTGGAATTACTCTTTTTAGATCGACCTATTTTTAGACCATAAGATGCACGAAACAGACAGGCAGACCATAATGCAGTAACAAAAGTGTGTGCAGTTTGATTAAGGCCTAACTGCCAAGGCCTTTATTGCCATTACTTTAGAGATCAATGCACCTTCTCAACGGAAATATACTAAAGTCTATCAATGGATAGATGCTGAACTTCCTGGAATGTTGCGGAATGGAAAACCAAACACAGGGAATCCAATTTTATGAACTCATCAAGGACTGAAGTATGCTTAGTATTGTTGAAGACATGTCCTCCAAATGAGTCTCCCTTTCCTAGATGGACTTTTGCTGATGCAGGCTGAAGACCATCCAAGATATTAAGAGCATGAAAGTAATGTTTCTCTAACCGGAAATGAGAAGAAGCCTCTGAAAGTCAGAAAACTACTGGCTCCAATTGGCCTGGTGGGTCAGTGGAAGGATTTGTGCAGGGCTCTGCACCTCCGTGGCCCTTCTGTTTGGATACAAAACTTTTGAATATAAAGTTAGATAGTTCTACAAATTCTTCAGTTGGTAAATGGTGAAAATTCTCTGAGTCCTGGAACACAGCATGTCTCGTGTATTCTTGTTGGAGCACTTCAGTAATCACATCCCAATGACATATTTGGTAGAACGCACATTTATGTAAAGACTAAAATACCAGCACAGGGCTGTAACAGAAGCAGAGACTGGAAAGTTTTAAATACTTATTTTTATTGTCACTGATTCCATTCTGTCTACACCAGCCACTAAGTATGAGACACACATCTTCAAAGCCATAAGGAAAGATAGGTCGGATGGGGTGAGGACTTAAAAAACATACTGGATTGGGATAGGCTGTGTTCAAGATAGGGGTTTTCAGAAGACATGGAGGGAAGTGGTGGAGAGATGTCAAAAATTAGTGAGGAAAGAAGTTGAGTGTGCTGGGCAAAGTGAAGGTCACTTGTTTGGCTAGATGTGACCACAGAGAGAGAGAGAGAATGCAGGCTCAGGGCCATGCCATACACTGGATCTCATAAATTCTGACTCTAGAGCATGCTTAAATGCTATTTTCCCGAACTAGAGAAGTTTCCTGAATGGTCTACATACCAGTGACTGCTTGAGAACTAAGCTCTGTTATCCAACTAATGAAAAGCTAGGTGAGTTGGGCTGTGGGCCACTATCTCTCCATAGCTGGGTAGCAGCATATAGGATGTTACAGATTCTTGATTCTGGCAGCATTTTAGACAGGTGGAATGGGAAAATGCAGACAGACAGTGGGAAATTACCCAACACCAAGGGCTCAGCTCAACTCTCCTCTCTCCCCATTGAGGGAACAGCACAAAAGGAACAGCAATGGTGTAGCAAGTACAGCAGTGACCAAGAAATGATAGCTTTACAATGTTTTAGAAACCCATCCCTCCCTTGCCTTGTAACCCAAGAAATTAGTCAAAGGAAATAAGCTGAGCCTCTCCACTTCCCCCTTGCACTTGCTGCACCTGGGGAGGTGTCTGCTGGGGAGGAGGCTGTTGTGGAGGCCCTCCGGAGGGTGCCATCTGCAAAAAATAAATGGAAGCAAGCAGAGTAAGGCAGCATTTCTTTCAGTGAAATTCCTATAGAAAAGAATTAACAGCACTTGCTGCTTTAGTCCAAGGGTTGATAGAGTCACTATCTTAATGCTAATAAGGTCAAGGAATTCATTAGTATTGTTTTGGAGTGGGGGGAGGGGAAGGGATTACATTGAAAATTTGGTCAAAGACTTACCTGTTGATACATAGGCTGTTGTCCTGACAGGTAAGGCTGCTGGGGTGGCAGGCTACTCAGACCTGATTCCTGGCCAGGGAGAGTTGACATAAGGTTCTAGCAGAAAAAAAGGGTGTCAAACTTTGCACCACAACAAGTGGCCCTTCTTGAAATGCAGCTACTTGAGCTTTAGAAATGAATTTTCCCATCACTATGAACATAACTACATATTCCCTATAAATCTTCCTGCTGATAACCTTCTCATTCATGATGTTCAGCAAAGGAAACAGCACAGTAATTGAAACAACTTCCTCACCTGCATATTGTAGGGCTGGTATCCCATTGGCACTGACTGATTGCCCATGTAACCCATAGTACCTCCAGACTGGGGGGGCGCTTGTGTCATGGCAGGCATTGTCTGCGTTTGGGAAGGGGCGGCTGCATTCTGCAGGGTAAAGAAGATAGCTGGAACAAGATGCCCCGTACATAGCAAATTTGAGCAGAAAATTTTGATACCCAGAAACTTCCAAGGAAAGTCTAGACAAGCTTCAACATACAAATAAAATATGATGCCTTTTGCTTCTAGAAAGCTGGGAAAGTCTGCTTTTTCCACAAGTAAAAGAAGAGAGAAATCTTCCTTAATTAAGCTGAGGACTTGACCAGCCCTGGAGCACCCCGTGATCTTCATGTCTGAATAGGGAACTGAATCTGGATTTTCCCAGTTAATTCAACCAGTGCGCCACACTGGCTTATAGTCTTCACACAACCAATAGAATGCTAGGAGCTAGTCTCCTGACTTGGGGTGAGATGGGGGGCTATTCAAGATCAATCGTACCTGGTAGCCCTGCGTAGGTGTGGGCTGATAGGAAGAATAAGCAGGATTTGCGGTGGGCACTGCCTGTGCCTGTGGGGCTGGTTGTGTGTTATTATTGCCTGTGGAGTACATGTAGGTGGTCACCATGCCAGGATCTGAAATAAACATACAAGAGATGAAAGTTATCCTTCTAGGCTGAGCTTTGTAGCCTATTAGTAAGGGGCTGGGCTAAATCCACACCCACTCCTTTTCTTTCTTCTACTTCTGTTACCTGTTCCTGCCACAGGCATCGCAGTGTAGGGTCCTGTACTGCCCTGGGTGGACTGGCTCATGTAGACAGTGTGCATGGGTGAGCCCTCCACAGAGCCTGCTGGGCTGAAGGTGCCTGGGAAGCTTGTGGGTCCTGATGGTTGGTAGATCACTCCGCTGGCAGGAGGCATGGCCTGCAGCTACACACAGAAATCAAGATTAGTTCCTGTAAACTTTACAGGCAGGAAAGGGAAGAGCAAAAGGAATTCTTGGCCTCCCAAGTCTTATTTCACTCAAATACCTGTGCATATGGCAAAGAGAAAGCAGGCATTTGTGCCCTCATCTGGATTGTTTGCTTCTGTTGCTCCAACCGTAACTGGCGTTCCTTTTCCTGCTCTTGAAGGCGCTGGATGGCTATCTGCCGTTGCATCTCCAGATATTCCTAAAGGTTGGAATAACGCAGGATGTATTAGGCACTGTAGTCATTATGCTTTCAGATAGCAGATGAATCTTTGCTCCAAACAAACTTGGGACATCACGGTCCAAGCCTCACCTGTTTCTTCTGCCGCATGATCTCCAGTTTTTGAGCTAGCTGGATTTGACGTTGACGCTCTGACTCTTCTGCAGCTCGGCGCAGCTTTTCTCTGTGCTCTTCTCTCAGGGCATTTAGGGCTCCACGTGCATCCCGGATCTGGGCAAGTTTATCTTGAAGTCCCTCATAATATACTGTGGAAAAGAAAGACAAGGCTGGAGTCTCATTGCTGCCCCCACTGTAGTCACACCTCCCCAAAACTCTTAAAAGAGGAAAGCAGAAGCGGAACTGTCAGAAGGATTGGGAAGCACCGGATTGTTTTAACCCCACACCAATCGAAAAGTAGCAGTAGTCACTTAGGTTGCTAAGATTCACCAGGGGGCAAGGGAACTCTAAATCTATTTTAAATCACACATCAGGGACACAGCTTCTGATAACATACAGCGACGTTCATCCAATTGGTTCAGTAGCTCCAAGAGCTGGGGGTGCATGCTGTTGATGGACTGGAAGACAGAAAGAACTGCCGAATCATTGGTAATGCTTCGCCCTCGCAGGTGGTTGCTCTTCATACGGTTGACAAAGGTGGTGACCGCATTCTGCAGAGCTTTCAGAAACTGCTCATGGCTCTCATCTGTCTCACCATTCTGATATTGCTGCTGGGGAAGAGATTGGAAACTGCTGACCAGAAGTCCCAGGTTCTGCCTTCTCCTGCCTTAGAATCCTGGCACTGCTTCTTTAAAAGTTAATCTTGTTCTTCAAGATGGCTACTACTGTTTGTCCACGTAAACCCCACACCAGAATAGATGCACCCACAATGAAACAAACTCACAACTCCCAAAAAGAAAGCCTAGCACTCACTCTTAAACTTTCCTTTAGCGCTGCTACTCCCAGTTCATAAATAAATATTCCCCAAACCCTAGATTGATGTGGTTGAGTCTGAGTGATGCTTAGAGAGTGACACTGTACTAACGCAGAAGGGTTTCGTTCCTACCTCCACAACACTAAGTGGGGCAGGTGGGACTTCTGTAGCTTGGGTTGCTGGCTCCCCCATAGACAGTGGGGCTGAAGGGGTGGGGCTCTTGCGCACTTCCTCCTGTTTCTTTTCCCAAAAGTTGCGATTCAGGTATCGAGCCAACTGCCCAGAAATATTGAGAAATGAAAGTAAGTTATTGCCAATACATTATTCAAACCAGCGAGTTATTGTCAGATATTATTTAGACCAGCTCATTAACTTAAAAAGATTGGCGTCTCACCTCAGGATCGATGTCCTCAGCTAGAGGAGCAGATGAGTTCTGAAAAAAGACATAGAATTTTTTATTCTTAGTAAGATTAACATCATGAAAATATCTCACAATCTAATTATCCTTTAAAAATATATATCAAATGCTTGAGAATAGACCTGCAAATCAGCTGCTCAAGCAAGGCAGATAAGAGCAAAAACAAATTCTTATTTTCATCTTCCAAATATCCTTCATTAGCCTGATCAAGATACTACTGAATTGTCATGGTAAATGAGAAACGAAGTGGCTTAAGAGTCACCGAAAGCCCCAAAATTGATTCCTGGGATTGACTAATCAGATTTATATAGCTGCTCATCTCACAAACCTGACTCTGACTTGCATACAATAAACCAATTAAACCAATTAAAAAGTATTTAGCCTGCAGGGGTCCAAAAGCTTTCTCTGCTGGCTATTCTCTGCCAAAGGCTGCGTTCTTACCACAGGAGAGGAATAGAGGGTACTGCCTGGGGGTGCTGAAGAGGTGACTGGTGTGGGTTCAGCCTTGGGGTAGGTAGAATATGTGCTTTTCTGCCTCTGCAGAGGAAAAGTAAGAACGTAAGACCACCATCTTTAATTACTTTTTGATGTTTATCAGCATGAGAGATGTAGTACAGAAAAGAGTAGCACTGTGTAAGGATTGAAAGGGGAAAAAGATAATTCAGACCACACTTTGGTACCTTCATAAATCAAACCTGGGATTACACACAAGACTAGGAAGACACATTTTTAAGGAGTTATCAACATATAAAAGTGCCCCAACACTCTCCAAATCATATTTCCCCCTTCAAATCTGGATTATTACAGTTTTATGAGGAAGCATTAAGCATCCTTTTGACAGTCAGAACTACAATATCTTATATATGAGGATATTTCATTAAAATACAGTACATCAGTGATAACTTGATGTCAGAAAACAAAATGTGATATTGTAACCTTCTGAATGCAGCAAAGATTGAAAAGTCTTGAGGAATTCAATTTTTGGATCATTTGTGAACAGTAGATTAGGTGAGAGAGACTATCAGAAAGACTTGTTTGGTAATTAAGGGTCTCCCTTTGACTTACGAGACAAAAGTGACATTAGCACAAATTTCTCACAACTGGACAATAGGCTGTCACAGGAAAAAGCAGAAGCCTGAGTTGTTAAATAAATTCTTATAATAACACAAAGCAGCCAAGTATGAGGAATTGATAGGAATGTTAGTTATGACTAATGAAAATTAGTTGTGACAACTTGAAAGAATCATGATCAATACACAAACCATCCTTTCCTTTTCCTCTGCTTCAGACTGGGAAAGTGCAATTGCCAGCTGTAGCTCTTCTTCCTCCTGCAGGGCAGTTTCATCACGCTTTGGGGGCAGCTATGGGCAGAACAAACAGCAGTCACTATACCTACTATTTGGAACTGATGAATTAAATTAAACATGAGTAGAGACCTAAAACAAGCAAGGAGTTACCTGGGACTGTTGTGAAAGAGGGCTGGTCAGGTATTCTGGAGGAAGTTCTGTGGTAGCAGTTCCTTTTCCTTCTCCCTTCCTGTATGGATAGAAAGGACAAGGTCATGACTGCTGCTGAACTATCCTCTTGCTAAGCAGAATGGGGAAGAAAAAGCAGAGGGGCCCAGTGACAATTAAACTATAATCTGCAATGAACCAACTAGCAATTTTTCTGGAAACAGCATTCTGTAGGATAGGAGAAGTTACGCCATTCATTTTTATAAATCCCACACTGCAAAATCCACACATACAAAAAGCAGAGGTGCACGAACAGCCATTGTTTTCAGAATCTCAATGTAGTAGCCCCTTCCACAGATAAGCTCTTACTTGTTGAGATGTTCATAGCAAGGCTCACATACTCGTACTTCCTTCTCTATGCCAAACTTGGGGATGGTGGAATATTTGGATGAGCATTTTCCACAGAAGATCTGCCCACAGGCCCGACAATGATGCTGTGAACATACCAGAATTATCAGGATTATCCAAGATAAACATCTCGCAGGAAAACATAAAGCCAATGCCCTCTTCTCTCCTAGTACCTCTAACAGAAACCTTGCGTCACATTCAGCATGTGATCCCAGGATCAGAGGATGCAGTAGTACTCACCTTGCGAGTCACCACACCAAATTGAACTCGGCACCGGTGGCATTCTTCTGCATCCACCCAATCAGGAGCCTAACCGCATAGAAACACAGCAATTAGAGTACCAAAAAAAGGCCACTATAACACTTTGCCGTGATCCTAAATGTGCAAAGTTTTCCAAAAGTACTGCTATGCTAGAATGCATTACAGATAAAGGAAATGCATTCAGTGATATAATGTGTCATTAATGATCAGTAAAAGTTCAGTGTGAACTAATCTTTTTGTTGATTTGCAAGTTGAAAAAAGATTGGCTGTCTGTCTGAATATAACTGCAATCACAAATCACTCTCAGATGTGAAGTAATGAGTGGAGAAGAATTAGGAAAATTCCTAATGTACTGATAGCAAAAAAAGAGGAGAGGCTGTGTTTTATCACCTGCCTCAACCAGCTGTTATGCTGGTGATTGATTCATCCCAAATTCTCAGCATTAGAAACAGTCATCAAAGCAGAGACAAAACAAATATATGCTACACAGTCAAGATGTAATTACTACAGAAAAGTCCAAATTATTTCCCCCAATGATGTGAGCCACTTTCCCAGATGGGATACTTACCCTTTCTGCGGCGAACATCGCATCACTTTCTTTGAATTCTGGAAAAACATGACCTGTAGGTAAATTAACACTGTCATGCCACTGCATGCCAAATCTTGGGCCCTGGATATTGGTCTGAGGACTACACATGAGCAACTGTCTCCATGCTTCCCTATGCTCTGCCTCATGTGGGCAAAGCCCCAAAGTCTCTTTTTTTTACTAACTAAAGATAGGGAGCTTACAGGGCATGATTTATTTGCAAGAACTCTTCAGAAACTTTCCAGATGATCACTTGACCACTAAATCCCATGAATGTCAGTGTGACAATGAACAAGGGCAAAGGGATTAATTTTTGATTGTCACTATGTCCAGAATCGTGGAGTCAGAAGGGATAAGAATTATAGAATTTGAAAGCCGGTGTATCTGGTGGCTCCAGAATTAGAAGACTGAGATAGGCCCAAGAAGTGAAATGGCTATGATCAGTATTTGAAACACTAAGCAATTGCCACCAATTGCCAAACACTTTAGTAATGTCAGTAAATTTATGAGGTGGGTTTTCAGGTCATATAAATTTGATAAATAAATGGAAAGTTCGATTTTTCTCCAAATTCCCAGCTGCAGACATATTACCCACACAAATGGCCTTAATACCACAATGGACGGCTACTTGTCTTTCCTCACCTTCTACTTTCATGATCTGGTAGGTATCTTGGACCACCTTGTATTTGGGCTCATTGCGGAAGGCATGGGCCCATGCTTGGATCAGGTACAGGATCTTGTTGCGAACGTTTGCTTCAACTTGTCTCTGCAGATAATAGGAAGGGTCAAGATCAGGCACTGTAGCCAGCAGAACTGAGCTCGCAATCTTCCACTGTTTGAGTTATGATACTGATACACAATGCATCATTCCTCAGAGCAGCAAAAGCTAAACCCAACTTTTCCCCTTGTTTAGTCCTTGCTTGTAAACATGTACAATATGACTAGGGACCTAAAATAATTTCTTCCTAAGCATTTATTCTCACTGAAGAAATTTGTATCTAATTTTAAGAGGTGTTTTGGTACACAAACAACTGTTCTTACCTCACAAACATAAAATCATGTAAGGTTCTTCCTGCTGCAACAAGCTAAAAAAACAAAGTTAAAGGTACAGCAAGGCTCTTGTAGAAAAATACTCTTCCCTGAACACTAGGATTACCTCTGCATTACTGAAGATGCAGTTACAAGCACATTCTCACCTTGCATAATAGTATATTGCTTCCATCAAGAACCATTGATGGAATGAGGCTGAAATACTGTATGGCAGGAAAGATCATGAGGAAAAGATCTAAATTGGATAGGGTTAGGGTTAAGAGAGCAACAGTAAAAATGGACTTTGTGGGAGGAGTCATGTTACTCTATGGTGCAAAAAGAGACCAGGATTTGAATCTGGAATGTTCTCCTAGGAAAAAGATGTGTTCCACCACTTAGCTACAGGAGCATTACTACACTTGTGTATACTATATATATACTATATATAATCTATATATTTTTAAGAACTAGCAAATCAGAGTACAAGACCTGCATAGTTATCCAACATTTATTTTTCTTCACTTATTTTTTTTTAGAGATAAAGTGGAAGCATAGAAAGTGTTATGTTTCATTTGACACTAATAGATAAAATCTACACATTAAAAAATGTGATGATAATAAGGAAGAAAACAATCCAGTAGTGAGTGTATTCAAGCAATGAAAGCATCAATAATACATACACTGATATAAGTATGCGCAACTATTCAGGCTGAAATCTTTGCTATACAAATACATGTACAGACATGGAAATGGTTGTGCTCTAAAACTATTTCAGGCTAACTGAAATATGTTAGATCTGGTATGTGTATATATAAATGCATAAACATACTATGCTTGAATAAGGTCATTACAATTTTTAATGCCCAAACAGATTTTTTAAAATAAAACTTTTAGGACTTTGGCATTTTTTATGTGTTGTTTACTTTTTAAAAAAGGTCAGATAAGGTAATATTTTTGTTATGTAATATTAACACAAACCTTCAGGGGAAAAATAACAGCAAAGTCAATCTATTCCACCTCACTCCAGTATAACACTTTTCTTTAGTTTAGCTTACTGTAAAGAAAAATGGCCTAAGTGCTATTACCTTGAACAATTCCTTCAATTCCTCCATGGTCTGCTTGTTAGCCACCTCATCATGGACTGTCTGACCACAATTCTTTACTACAGATTCCAAGACCTGCATGAAAAATATACAAAAGTTGGTTCCCAAGTAAAGTTCAGAGACCTGGGAATGTGATTATACTTCTGCTTACCTCTAGTGCATAGAGCGCCACATGAGGATTCTTGTCATTGACTTTTTTCTTAATTGCACCCACAGCATACTTAGCCCTGGGAAATCATGTGGGAAAAAAGAGAACCAGTTCAGTCTAATGAAAGCTGCAAGATAACATTTTTTCTCTCATGAAACATAGTATAATCACCTACAAAATGCAAACACTTGATGAAGGAGGCTGTGTATATGCCAAGACAAAAGAAAAACAAAAAAAAGTCATGACTAGATTAGTCCTAGACAAAGAAAATATCCCAAATGACTATGTCCTAGAATAATGGGCTAAAGGGCCAACCACAGTGGAACCAGCTATATGCTTAGTCCCAAGTAGCACCAAGTTGTTCTGGGATTTTCTAGGAATAATTAGCCAATTAATTAAAAATAAAAATTGCCAATGAAATAATTAATATAAATCAATTTTACAACTGCATCTTAAATTAGTTATTTCTCATAAAAAAAACCCCACCCCATTATTGAGCTGTAAAAGATGCAGCTATGAGCAAAACAAGGGCACCGCAAAAAAGGAAAAAAATAGTGTTGAATGCTTCTTAATTAACAAAGTAGACAGAGTATGATATAGCCATGCATGTAAGGGGAAAAAATGGTTAGCAGAAAAAATATTTTCTTTCACACACACAGTATTAGAATGCAGTTTATTTACTGCATCTAAATGAGAAAATAATCTTATTCACACAAACAATTAAGCTATGAAATTCATTGCTTTAGAAAATGGATAAACATAGATTCAAATTTCTGTGTTAGCAGCATGTTTCTTTCCACTCATTCTTTGCTTAAAGTTTAATTGTAATGAAGGAATGCTTCTTTTGTCAATAAAGTGCATAAAAATAGGGGAAATGATAAAATGGTAGAGTTCAGCACGTACTGGGTATCCCCCTGACGAATCATATCACAGATCTGTAGAATAGATTCCCAGTCTGTCTCCAGCAGAAGCTGACTTGTGGCCTTATCTGCAAGATAACAAGATAAGTCATTCAGGCACAAATTAAAATTTATATTCACTATCAGAGAATTGATGGACAAAGGGATTTTTGTTCTGATGGGAATTATTACAGATGAATGAGAACTTCAGATCACAAACAATTATAACTATTAGTTATTTAATGTATACTATTAGCATTTATAAATTGTTTTTGTCAGCAAAGCTGACTTCTTAGCTGTCGAATCTAACATTTACTTCTCTAACCATAACATTTATCATTTGCCCAGATATCTTAATTTCCTTTAATTACTTCATCATCCCCAATAAATAGACTTCTTTAATCAGGCCACTCTAGCATCTCCATCATCAAGTTTACAATAGATTATAACCTATTCACTTCCTCTTTTCTAATTCTTCCTCCAAACTTCCTTGTGTCATAAACTTTGGTACTTTTTTCCACATTTATGTACAATAAATCCTAGTTATATGTAACTGCTTCTGTACGTATTTAATCTTTCTGCATATCACTCTCTCACCCGTCTTTTCTCCTTCCCTGTCATGTTATAAATTTCTTGAAGGAATTTAAGTATATTTTGGAATGGTATACTTTGGTATATTCTAACACTCCATATTCAAATACAGCACTATATTTAAAGAGGAAATGAATATCATTGCCTTTTTCCCATCAACACAAAAACACCAGTTAATTTGTCGACTGTTGAAAGGGTGGTGGTGGTTGTGAGATGTAGATTTTCCTTCCATTGATATTTGTCCTAATGCAACACATCACATTTGCCTTGATTCAGCCAGTACTTAGTCAGTTATTTCCTGGTACAATCAGTCACCTTGTAGAACCTGATTCTAGGTTAGTGATGAGGTCAGCAGCATTGTACAATTACAAATACAGGAACTGAGACTTCTCCCCCCCACCCCCAAATTACACATTTGTATATCACTCCATACATTCAAAATGGATTAAGCTGGTCAAAAGATCCCCCCACCCCTCATTTACGCAAAGGAGAGCCAGTACTTAGTCTGAGTAGTGAATAATACTGTCATTCTGCAATCCCATCACATGACACTGGGCAATATCACATTATTAATCACTCCAGTCGACCTCTTTGTCGCTGAAGTACAACCTTGCAATCTGTGGAACGAGGACAATGATCCTACCAATAAATACAGGACAATCAATATGGGTGTATATTGGGAGTATGGGGGGTCGGGAAGGACACGAAAGGGAAAACGCTTCAAAGTCCTGATTGGTTTTCAGAAGCCACGAAAGATCCCAGAAAAGGGAGGCGCGATTTACAGAAAGGTTTTTTGCACAAGAGCTGAAGAAAGGGAGGTCGAAGGGAAACAAGGAAATTCAGCCCCGCTGCTCCAGCGAGCGTTAAAATGAAGGCCGAAGGTCTGAGGCAAGATTAGGCCAAGGTCCCCTCTATCCCCCCCAACTCGGTACCTAAAAGGCGCTCGAAGGTGCCCCCTCCTCGCCCCATTGTCCTCCCCGCTGAAGATCAGGCTGGACCGCCGCTCTTCCCCTTCCGACGTCTCCGCAATTTAGGCCCCGCTTCCGCCTTCCAGTCAGCGGAGAGGCGGGCTTTCCGGCGGCAAGCCTTATAGCGATTGGTTGAGGCGTGAACGAAGCCTGCTGTCGCTCCGAACCAATGGAACGCTTGCGAAGAACGTTGGCGACCGGACGGTCTGGCCTTGGTTGCTATGGGAATGGCGGGAAGCTGTGGTACTTCTCTCTGCTGCCTGCTTCTCGGGGCTACCGGGGTGGGGAAGACGCTGCTGGTGAAGCGGCTGCAGAATATCCTCGGGCCCCGGCGAGGAAGGGGGAAGCGGGGCTCGTTGGGTCAAAGGCGGACGATGTAGAGGAGCGCCTAGCGAGGAAGGGGAAAAGAAAGGAGCGAGGAGAGGTGGTGGGTGCGCCTTGCCTCTCTCTGCCAAGGGCAGAGATGCATAGGACTGAGTGAAGGTGGCCTCTAGAGATTGCAGAAAGTGATGACTAAATTGTGATTGCTAAAGTGTGGTTTTAAATGGGACTGAAGAGGGCATCCATTAAATGTATGACAGTGCAAAAAGAAAAAAAAAATACCCGTGTCGGTTATATTTAATTTTAATGAAGTTTAAATGCAAAAGGAAGCCTTGGAGTATCCGCTGCCATTACTTTTTCCAAGTGCAGCATACAATACAATATTAAATCGTTAAATGCACACCCCGGGGAAAAATTATAGGGGTTTGGCCTCTCTTGTAAGAATCTTGGGGCTAACGCGTGGAGTTAAGAGTCAGAGAGAGGAATGGAATTAAAAAATGGCTGCTTGATGTTTGGAAAGTAGGTTTTTGTGACCCAGAATATTAAGTCCTTGCTGTATTGGGCAAGGGTGTAAATGGGATCTCCTCCTTGAGCAGCCTTTCCTACTCATATCCTGCTGTTTTCCAGGTAATGATATTTGAGAAATATTTCCATAATTCCCAGATAAGCATAGGCAATGGAAGACATCTGAGAGAAAGGCTATTCTGGAAAATTTCAATCCAACTTATATCTTATTGTATTGAATGTTATTCTTTCCTACCATCTTCCTTAATGGCTTTTTTATACAGCTGAGCTCCAAATGTGGTGCCAAGGACCTCGGAGACCCACCAGCTACTTTGCCAACGGTATGGCTTTTTATTATCTTTGGTTCACTAGTTTTGGTGAAAAGAATTCCAGTGAAAGAAATTCTTTAAGCACTGTTGCTTGAATAGATCAGGGTTGATTGGTGTATAGAATTGAGCCCACATAAATAGTTGGAGCTGGTAGGTACAATATATGAGGAAGTGGAAAACAGAATTAGGAGACTCATGTTCATTCATACATTAATATATACGTACCCTTAAACAGAAATTTCTGTTCTCCCTCCCCTTTTCTCAATATTATAGGGCAAGAGTGAGATATATGCCTTCTGCATTAGGCTCTTTTCTTCACAGCCTGTCTAATGGCTGAAAAGCTGGCTGGCAGAGTATTGTTAGTCAGACTGTACAAACTGCTGAGGGAATGGCCATGGTGTGGTGCTGAGGTACTGAATATATTTTGCTAGCCTAGTGGATTAATAGTTGCAGTGTTGGATATCACATGATGTATGCTTAGGTTTGTTTGTATTTTCAGTAAACAATAGAGAAAGCTCTTTTATGCCTTCAGGTCAGCCTTTTCTCCTGGCAATTACCTAAACTAATCCCTGTTTTTTTGGCAAGATTTTCAGAAGTGGTTTATCCTTGCCTTCTTCTAGGTCTAAGAGAATGACTGTCCAAAGGCACCGAGTTAGTTTCATGTCTAAGGCAAGACTAGATCTCATGATTTCTAGCCTAGTACCTTTATACTAAACAAACAATACTGAAAACTGCACAGTGTCATGTCTTTATGGAACATTGAGAGTATTTAATATCTCTGCTATGGAAAATATGTGAAGCCTAGGATAATCAACTCAAGTTGAATTAGATGGTTTCAATTAATTTGATGACAATCCAGGTAAAGTTGACAATCCAAGTAAAAAGTTGGTTGCCTCTTTTGGAACCTTCCCTCCATGACACAGGTTTGTAGAAGTGAATTATGAGCTCGAAAGATTTTTGTGGATTTCATACTGCATTCTAACAGAAGAGTGCATAAAGAATGGGACTGCTTTCACCTTGCAATAATTGAAAAAAATCAAATTTTGGGCTGTGTCAGCACATTTATCAGGAAAATGGCAGGGTATCTGTCCATGAGTTGATGCTTAAATGAATGTGGCTCATGCAAAAAACAATAGTAAAATACATATAAATCTACATCAGTGGTGGTATTCAGCCGGTTCTATCTGGTTCGGGTGAACCGATAGTGGTAGCTGCGGGTGGCTCTGCCTACCGACCTGGACATAATCACGTCCCAGTTATGCACGTTTTTGATGCTCTGTGCATGCGCGGAAGGCCCTGCGCATGCAAGTGAAGCGAGTGTGCGCACACTCACATTTGCGAACCGGTAGCGAAGGTAAGTGAATACCACCCCTGATCTACATCAAAATGACTGAAGCAGAAGAAAAGTGAATTTTGGAATATCCAAGTTAAAGCTGTGACATTAACTTAGTTGAAATACTATGGCATCACCTGACATTTGTGTAAGACAGCACAATCATATTATTAGTTGTAGTTCTGTAAAGAGAAAACAGAAAACATTTGTTGCAGGTTGTCACTGCTAAAAGAAGTAACATCAATTACTTTGATAGTAGTTCATTAAATCTTTACAAATTTTCTAATAAAGATAGTGAATGTTGGCTTAGTGTGTTCACTAGACAGTACACACTATACCATTTTATGATATACTACACCAGTAGGACTTAACTAAAGCTCAGTTCACATTGTGCATCATAATACTACAGGATTACAGATACCTCTAAAAAATAACTTTTTTTGCTGCTCTAACTGTAATTTTATAGTTGATTGTCACTATTGCAATGTAATTACTAATCATCAGGTTCATGCTTGTTTTCAGATTGTCTTCATTCAAAGCAGGTTTTTAAAGCCTCATGTAATTAAAGCCAGTAGGTGGCCCTCAGAATTAATTCTTCTGGGACAAACTTTATTATTCTCTCTATTTGTTATGATTTTTCCTTCCATTATATTTTATAATGTGTGTTGGTATGGGATGCGTCCATCTGTGGCTTCTTATTATGTATTTACCCAATAGCATTCATCTCTTGGGGAGATGGGCAGTTTAAAAATGTGAAAAATAAATAAATGAATTGTTGAATTATTATCATGTTCCCTCCAACTTATGATTTTTCAGCTGCTGCTATTTTCCACTCTTGGAAAAGGCAAGTTACCTGTGGAAATGTCAGTCATGTTAGTCATAGCTCAATAGTATGTATATGACATGGATATTTTTGGATATTTAAATCCTGAAAACATACCATCAATGAAAGCAGAAGGCCTTCTGGCACTACTGAATTATATCAGACCTTGCATTGAAAATAGAGCTCAGATTTCCGAGGATCCTGAAAACAACTTTATGATATTGCATACCGGAACTTTTTATGGAAAAATATTCAGGTTTTGCTCTTTCTCATTAGAATTAGGAGAGTTAGATTACTATATCAGGATAAGGAACCTAATTAACAGAGTAGATAGTATTTACAGTTCTGTGCACAGATTCTTAGGAATAAGACCTATTGTAGTTTATGGTATTGTTATACATCAATTCATTTGTACATCTGTGTATATGTTTGTATGATTGTGTTTTTGCAGGTAGGCACAAATCTTACTGATCTCCCAATAGGAAGGAAGATCACAATTCGAGAGCTAGGAGGATGCATGGGTCCTATCTGGTCCAGTTATTATAGTGACTGCCATGCTGTCCTGGTGAGCATTCATTAATGTATTATGTATAATTCAGTGGTATTTTTATAATAAACTTGCAAGATTATAACCAGTTTTATGGTGTTAGAAGAATAATTTGGGGCCCTATGAGCCAGAGTAGCACAAAAACAAATGAAAACATGAAATCCAGACATACTGTGAGAAAAGAAATCCAATTTTATTCCCAAGAACAAAGGGATTTGCTTTTGGGGTAGACTACATAGGAAATGGGGTCCAGAGGCGTGGTTTTATAGAGGGGCTAGTCCTTGATGTGAGCAAGGAGATTTGTGAACATGCTGGTTTTAACATGTATCTTTCCTGTGCAGATGCTCCTGATTTGGGGTTTGATCCTGTGTGAAATCCATAAAGGAAAATTTTCTTTAGATATGTGCATTTCATATCTGCATATGGCATTTTTCTTTATCCTGGAGGGATTCCTGCTCTTTTATGGAGTCAGGGAAGTGTTAGGATTGTATGATTATTCTGGGGCTGGTCGACAGTTAAAAGTTCAGAGGACTGCTAAAAGTGGACTGGGGGGGGGGGGGCAAGAACAGAGGCCTTTTTAACTTCTACCAGTGGCACACCAGCTTTTCTGCTTATATGGATGCAAAGGAATGAGAGATGGTGCTAAACAATGAATGTTTTTTTGAAAGGGAGAGTGAGGTCAGATTGGAAGGATACTACTATTTAGAATTATTTTTGGTAGAGTTTAAGATTCTGGGTGATTGTGGTCATGCTTATCCTGTAATATTGGAGTTGGCAAAAAAGTGCAATGTTGTAAATTGGGAGGATGAAGATAAGTGAGCAGCTCAATGGCAGACGCTTGGCAGAAAAAGGGAGGAAGTAAAGCAGCTACTCACTGAGCTAGAGGGTATCTGGATCTTCTTGGAGGCTGTGGCTTTGGGAGCTTATTTAGCTGGCCCACTGGTACTGTACATGTGTCAGTGCATAGGTTTGTCAGCTGCGATGCAGTCTTTATAAAACTTTTCTTGTCTACAACTTGATGAACATGCAGATCTAGTGTACTGTTTATTTCCAAAACCTGGTTGTGCGAGAGCAGTGACACTGCTCTCTCAAAAATCTGCTCTTTGGGTTAAAGACCCAGATGCCCGGTACAGGCAATAGGAGTATAATATTAATCTTAAATGGCACCTTGTGATCAGGGACTCTCACCTCAGAGGGGTGAATGCTTTATAAGGGCCCTCAAAAGAGATTTGACTTTGGAAACAGGCAAGCCTGAATCATGTTATAAAAGAAGGGCTTGTGGATCAGATTTCTGTTGGTAAGCAACTTCTCATTCTTAGGCCTGACTTTCCGACCGTGTTTTTGATTCCCTGACTGAATTTTGGATCAGTACAAGAATATACTTAGCTCTGATTCCTGGAACTAGGATTTGTCTGCATGGAACCCAGGCTACTTGTTTATTTTTCCTGGGCTGTACTGTTGTAAGATTTATAGCTGCCATAAAACCTCTGACGTCTTGCAGTCCGACCTCTTGCACTGGCACAGACATTTAAGGAACGGAAGGCAGAAAGATGTATATAGGTAGTCCTCGACTTAGGACCTCAGTGGAACCTGGAATTTTGGTTGTAAGTTGTTGCTATTATAATTGAGGCACCTTGTGATCTAATTTGATTTTGTGATTGTTTTCATAACTATTGTAAAGTGAGTCATCAACGTTGTTAAGTGGAACACATGTTTGTTATACAAACTACATAGGTGGTTTTTGCCAAAAAATGGCAAAAAATATTGTAAATCAAGGGCACATGACCAGGGAATGCTGAAGCTGGTCATAAAGATGAGCTGATCGCCAAGCCCCTGAAATGCAAGCACACAATCACTGGGTGAGGGGGAATGGCAGTCATAATTTTGAGGATGGGACATAAGTAGATTTTTTTGAAGGCTGTCATAACTACAAACACTGTTAAATGATCAGTTGTAAGTCGAGGGCTATCTGTGTGCTACTCCTGTGACTGTTTAACACAAATTTTCGTGAAGGCTACTCTGATTCATCAAAATCTTGATTCTTTGTGGTCCATCTAGCCGTGTTACCCAGAATGAGTTCTATCCTTTGGACTTTAATGAAATTGATAGTGTGCCCTTTTAGTTTTCCCTTGTATGCTTCATCCCTCTCGCTCTCTTGGCTCTTTCAGGTATCTGGAAGACAGGGAACAGATTGGGTGAGGGAGGAAATTAAGGTCAGCTACCTTGAAAGTGCCTGTGGTGTGTCTCCTCAAGAGACTGTCCCTGGACCCATTTGCACGTGATGACTACCACTTTGTCTCTATTCTTCCTTTGGGGGTGGGAACATGCTTATTAAAAATGTGGTTGGTGTGCAGCTACAGGGCACTCTAGAGCAGAGGTGCCAAACCCATGGGCTGTATGTGGCCCACAACACTCCCAAATGCAACCTCAACCATATTAAGTTGCTCTAGAACAGGGGTGTCAAACTCAAGCCCCATGGGCCAGATCCAGCTCACAGGGTGCTTAGATCTGGCCTGTGGGGCCGCACTGGGAACAGCGACCAGCCCATAGTGCCTCTGCTAGCGAAAATGGAGGTCCCAGGCTTCATTTTCAGCTGCAACGGCCTCCTGCAACCCTCTGCCAGCAAAAAAGAAGGTCTGGAGGCTGCACAAGGCCCGCCCAGTCTCTGTTTTCACCCGCGACGGGCTCCTGCAGCCCTCTGCCAGCAAAAACGGAGCCAGGGAGGCCATGTATGTCCCCCCTGGACTCTTGTTTTCACTGGCAGAGGGCTCCAACCCATCACAACCGAAAATGGAGCCCAGGAGGGCTGCATGCGATCTCCCCGAGCTCCATTTTTGCTGACAGAGGGTTGCAGTAGGAAGTCACGACCGAAAATGGGAGCCTTGATGAGTGACGTCGAACTGGCCATGCCGACCCCGGCCACAAACACCCGGGCCCCAGAGGTCAAACACAACCCTGATGCAGCCTTCTATGAAATCAAGTTTGACATCCCTGCTCTAGAAAATCTTGCCCATAACATTCAATCAGTTTCCTCTTTATTAATTTATTTATTTTGGTAACTACTAAAGATAGCATTATTCAAAGTTTTTGATTTGTTGCAGTTTATTTATTCTTTCTATTGACTAGTTGTTCTGTTCTTCCCTTGAGCAGTAATTTGTTAAATTTATTTTTTAATTTTGTTGTTTAGTTTAAATTTATAATTGTGCCATGGGTACTTTGTTACAATTAAGATTTTAACCTGCTGAAAGTTTGTTTGCTGTAAGTGGGCAAAAATGTCAAATAAATACAGGTAGTCCTCGACTTAACAACTATTCCTTTCATGACTGTTCAAAGTTACAATAGCAATGAAAAAGTGACTTGATTGTTTTTCACACTTACGACTGTTGCACCACCCTCATAGTCATATGATCAAAATTCAGATGCCTGGCAAGTGACTAATATTTATGACGGTTGCAGTGTCTTGGGTCATGTGATGACCTTTTGCAACCTTCTGACAAACAAAGTCAATGAGGAAGCCAGATTCTCTTAACAACCGTGTTTCTAAGTTTAGAACTATATTCTGAGGGTTTTTAAGCGATTCTAGATGTTCTGGGACATCTCAATTGGATTTATAATCTCAACATATATTTAATATATAAATCTAAATGTTTAGGGATATTGTTGCTAAGTAAATTTCCCACTCTTATTTCTTAGGCTAGAGTGTTTAAGGATTAGATTTATATGATCCCTATCTCATATAAAGTGACTCTGAATAACTAACCCAATGAAAACTTCAACATAATAAAATTTATTGTGCGCCATCAAGTCAGTATTGTGTCTCGACTCTCAGCAACCACATAGATTAAATTGTCTCCAGGATGATCCTTAATCTGGTCTTCAGATTTTTTTTGTGCAACACAAAATACAGTATATAAAAACACATGAGAAAGAAAAAATGAAAAACAGCAAAGGCTAAACCAATCAGTAACAAATTTGCACAACTCATAATCACAACTACTTCCCAGCCACATACCTGAAAGAAAAGCCAGGTTTTAAGGACTCTGGAGAAACTAGCCAAGTTTGGGGATGATCTAATATTGGGAAGAACGATGCGCCAAAAGGGCAGGCAATGCTACAAGATGACACATCTCTTGGGTCCTGCCAAGTGATGCTCTTTAATCAATGGGATTTGGAGAATATCCCTTCTGCCAGATCTGGTGGGGCTGATAGACACAATTGGCGTTCCTTTGTAAGAAAATATAATTCTAAACCTGTATGTAAAGTGTTGTATATAGGGTAAACAAATTAGTTATACGTAGGTATGCATATATTTAGCATTCACTCTTTAAGCCATTTATTTGGGGTGGAGTTGGGTGACTGAATAGAGCAGAGTGTTTAATGTTTAATGTGTTTAATGGCCGGATGCCCTTCCTGATACCTATGCGAATTCTGCATACCGGTAAGTGTCAGGAAGGGCATCCAGACAGTAAACCGCTCAGCTCCATTCAATCGCTCCAACTCCATCCCGAATAAAGGGGTTAAAGGGTTGTAAAAATATAGTCTTACAGCCCATTGTCTATAGATTATAAGTATAGATTTCAGATTGTACCAAATTTTTATGTATTTCTAGTTTTCCCATGGCAAACGGCACAAATAGTGAAATAAGAAAACAAGTTTATACAGTACTTTAGGATATTATTTAAGTATATGGCTCCCTATCTCTTGCAGTATATGATTGATGCTGCCAACCCTACCCAGATTTCCGCATCCTGTGTCCAGCTTCTGTCCGTCCTTTCTGCTGAACAGCTAACATCAGTTCCTGTCCTCCTCATCTTCAACAAAATGTAAGAAAATTAAGCTGAATTTCCACACAGAAGACTTACATTAGTGGCTTTTATCAGCTCAAAATGGAAATGGGTGTGTAACTACCTTTTTTCTCACTATTCTGAATCCTAGTGACTTACCATGCTACATGTCCCTGGTGGAGATGAAGTCATTATTCCGAATTCAAGATATCATTGCTTGTGCCAAACAGGTTATCACTGTGGTTGAGATCAGTGCACGAGATGGCAGGGGCTTATCTGATATAATGAAGTGGTTTCAATCCACCCTGCATGATTGAAGTTGGAATCTGGAAATGTCAGGAAGCTGAAATGTTTCCTGCAAACAGCGGATCAACATTGCTATCACAAACTTTGATGTAGAAATATGTCATTTAAATTATTCAGTGGATTGCCTCTTAACTGGCATATTGGATTGTTGCTACTGCATGCAGATGCATTGAAAGGGAATATTGTAGCTTCTAACAGTAAGCCCAGTAATGATATACAGTATTGTATCATTTTTTCTAGATGAAGATATGGAGAGTTGAAATAATGGCAAGTAAAATATGCTGTAATAGAAGTACCAATCAGGTTTTGTAGGCAACATGAAATTTAATTTCACTCATGTTTCTGTGCTTTGTATGAAGTCAGATTTGATGGAAGTACAAAGCAAACAAAATCCTGTTCTATAACACACTAGAAATTCAGATTGCTCAAGTCTAGAGTACCTTATTCAAGAGTTTGTGTGCATAGTCTCTTGTGTTTTAGTTGTCAATAGTTTAACTATTTTCTACAACAATGATCTAACCAAAAATTCAGACCTAAGAAGTATTAACTTGATGGGATTTAGCAGATAACTTTTGCCAATGGTGCAGTCTCTGCTATTCCTCAGACAGAAAGCCTATCCAGACCAGTGTGCAGGGGCAACATTAATCTGTATTAAATGCCATACACATGACGTATGTTTGCTACACTGTATACTATTGGTTTTCTGTGAGTTACATTAGAAATGTGTTAATTCTTTGGTGTTTCCTTGACTTTGATTTCTTCTCACAAGAATCTCACATTCTCAGAATTCAGGTTTTTGGTGAGCTCATGTGAACCAGATTAGCTGAGTCATGGGGCATCAGCAAAAACAATGTCAATAGATTATAGCTGAATTACAAAATGGGTATGCAATGTACAAATTCTAAAGTTCTGCACGACTAATTAGTTCTCTCAACCAATTAAAAATTGTAAAATGTAAGATGTAACGAGATGAGAGTCTTATCAATATTGGATGTATTGTTTAAACCTCAGCTCCTCTGTCACTCTTTTCACTTAACTTTTATCTTCTCAGCTTTCCATTTTATTCTCTTGTGGTGTCAGTGGCATCCATCAGAGCCACTAAATTGTTATTTGAATGCATTTATTTACTTATTCCAATTCAGTGACTCTTAAGAGTCTTTGAATGGCTTCTAAGAAACCAATTATATACTAGGGTTAAAAGTATAGTAAAAAATATTTACAGAATGAATGCTGGCATTCAGTCCAGTTGCACCTACTGCTGGACAATCACAAAGATGGTTTTACTAGAGGTGAACACAAATGACATTCTCTTCCTGTCTCACAAAATGGGTAGATTCAACACAGTAGAACTGACTCTCCCTTCTCATCATGCTGTATCTCTCTGTGTCCACTCTCCATAAACACCTAATTTAGTGGGAGCTTTAATTAATTGCATTGAAAGCCTAATACCAAAAACAGGTTAATTATGAACTCAATGCATCTGAAAGCTATGAACTAACCTATTTTATGCTGCCATATTTTCTTACTGGTGTTTCTATGACAATGCTCTAAATTAGAAACTTAAATATTTATTTGAAATAAATATTTCATAAAGTAAAGACCACTTATTGTGTCAATGATTAAGCAGCTCTTACAGCATCATTCTGTACAAGGCTTGTCGTTACTTTCATTTTTTTGAAATTTACTAGTAACTTTGTTTTAGTAATTTGCTCTTTAGAAGATATTTAGTTTGCAGGCCAAAATAAATTACGGTTTCCCTGAGGAATTAGATTGGGCTCAGAGAATAAGTAAAAAAATAGAGCCGGCAAGGGAGAGCCACTGACCTCTAAGAAGTAGAGCTGGTATTAGTCCTGTTACATTGCTTTCTGAATCTCTGATTTGGAAACATATTTCATAATTGATTGTTAAAGTAGCATTTCCAATGGTATAAATGCAAGCAAGCATAGTCTATCCTTAATATTCAACATGGATAGATTGGAGATATGACATGTCCAGAAATGAGGTTAGTTCTGCTGCTCCACTACTAGTTAGCATCTTTGGGAAAATATTTTGCACAGCTGAGGTAAAGGGCGTTAGATTTTATTATGGGATTTTATTTATTTTCATAAGGCATTAGGTGGCAGCACAGCTAGAATTTTTCAGTGAGTTTTGAACACATGGCTTAGGTTGCAACACTTTATTTTTAAAAAAACACATGCTTTGTTTTCACCATGACACACATTCTCATACCATCTTTCACTCACCTGACTCTTGTATGCAGACAATTCTAAAAAGAAAGTTGCAGTTTTTATTTACTGTCTGGAACGTAGAAATTGTGAAAAATGGCCCATAATTGTACACCTTAATTCCACAAAGAAAATAAAAGATGAGGTAGCAAAGAGTTAAGATTTCCTCTACAGATTAGTGCTCACACCTGAAGTGAAAATATATTCAAAGGATATGAGTTAAAATGTAGGCATGCACAACCATGTTGGAGTAACTGCACACTATGAGAACTTAACAAATGACAACTGTTCACCATCACTTAGGCAATTAATAGCAAATGAATTAAAAGGGAATATAATTTACTCTTAGGTAACTAGAGAGCTTTTTAAAGATAATCATTTTTAATAATATTAAGCCATGAGGTCCTTTGTAAGAAAGATTTCATTCCAGTAACTCTACACTTTCCATGTGAGGTCATAGATTTCATAATCCTGGCAAAACAAAGTACTTAGATCATTGCACATTATAAAATATAAGTTTGAATTCTCTGTTATAAAAATTGTCTGTAAAAATCTTCAGGAAGTCTAGAAGCTCTTAGTCTGGTTCAGGAAAGGTTTCCATTTGGCTGAAGACAAACTGGAATGGCCAGCAAACAGTTAGAATATAACTTCTTCAACTAAAGGTAGATAACATTCACATGCAGGAAGTGAAGGGCGTCAATGTCAGATGTCTTCAGCAGCATGAACATGTTCATCAAACCTGTTCTGGCTAGCCACATATCTATTCTCCTTTTCCTAAGAAGTCCTTCAGCGAAAGGTTCACTTGGTACATTCGCTGGTAAAGATGCTAAGGTAAAATGGATCTGTAATGTAATAAGAAAATTAGTGATGATTTTAGAGTCAATAATGAATAATGCAATTCCTAATGACAACACATTTTTCAACCCTTATCTTGCCTTTTTACATTTGTCCTCAAAATACCAATTTGCAAAATACAGTCCAACCTCATCTTTGCTTATAAATAAAATCCCAGACATATACACAGTACTTGAATTACTGTATAATGTCCTCTAGCATCCTATGTGTTGAATAGAGGATCTAAAGACTTGGTTCCCAAGAGTAAACAAATACAGGCAGTCCTCAACTTACAACAGTTCATTTAGTGACCGTTCAAATTTAACAATGCCACTGAAAAAAGTGACTTATGATTGTTTTTCAGTTACGACCTTTGTAGCATCCCCATGATCATGTGATCAAAATTCAGATGATTGGCAACTGGTTCATACTTATGACCGTTGCAGTGTCCTGGGATCAGGTGATCCCCTTTTGCGACCTTCTGACAAGCAAAGTCAATGGAGAAGCCAGATTCACTTAACAACTAGTGATTACTAACGTATCAACTGAAGTGATTCACTTAACAACTGTGGCAAGAAAAGTCGTAAAATGGGCAAAACTCACTTAACAAATTTCTCACTTAACAACATAAACTTTGAGCTCAATGGTATCATAAGTTGAGGACTACCTGTATAATAGCAGCCTAAGCGTCTATTATAATGTGTACCCCCCTCTCCCAGACTCTCTTCATTTTTTTCTCATGCCTGCTATAGTTCTGATGGAAGGAAGTATTTTCAGTCTTGAGCCTAAATGGAAGAAATGTTAGGAAAAATGTTGTGAGTCATAGCAAGATTTCAGCACCCACCTGTTCATGTTGCTGCTTTGGTCATCGTCCTTCCATAGAAAGTTCCTGCAATCATGGCAGTGTAATATCTTAAGTTTAATGGAGATAGTCTTTCTCATTTATGTGTGTGTGTGTGACAAAAACAAGACTAATGTGCCTTCCTCTGAAATATATTTGCTTCAGAGCCTGTAATTTTCTAGACAAAATTTGGTAATTTGCTACAGTGTTGTACACTGAAGGAAGGGGCTTAGGGAAACGTGTAACTGCACTTGGGTATTTTGGTCTACTGAAAAGAGGGAAAAAACAAAACAACTATTGCAGAATTCCTAAACTAAACTATAAGGTATGAGGCTACTAGCTGTGTGGATTTAGCATAGCCTATCGGCTAGTTTGAGCAAAGTTTTTAGCCAACTACTTGGGTCCTATTGTTTGGCATATCGCTGTCCTGTCCTGTCCTAATTGGTTCCAAATGGCCTTACCTCATTTTCACCCTGTTGTACTTTCATTTTTCATATATAATATGAAGTCTTTGAATGAGAAACTTCTTGTCTTCTCTTTCCTGGAATATGAGACACATTTAAGATGAGCAGCAGGAAATTGACTTTCTTAATAGAACATGGACATTATGAATGCTGAAGCAAATACAATGCAGAATTGCTAATTGTTTTTTATGCTGGCGTTGATTGTTAAAAGTTTACTTATGATTGGCAAAATAGGTATGAAAGGGAAAGTCATATTACAGTTCAGGTACCTAGAGTAGGAGGTCCATTTTATTTGTAGAGCTTTGGGCACAGACAGTTTGCAGCACACTCCCCTCAACAACCTAGCTACAACTAGTGTAAGTTGGGCAATGCAGGAAGACAAGCTCTTTTTTCTTAAAAAAAGTCACAAGGAAAAATGCTGAATTGAAGGAGTGTGATTAAATTGGTGAATACTACCAACTTTGGCAATTGCTATTTAGTTACCCATTTTGGTTGAACATTTTTGAGGAAATCAGTACGTTCATAATTAACTGTATAATTCTGTTCTTTTTTCAGGACAAATAAAATGTTGCAACATTAAAAATGAATATTTTTATTAGCTGCCATATAACAAAGTTCAACAGAAAACCAAACAAACTTTTTTTTTTTTTGATTAGAGGTCTTTACAATGTAGGAAACAGTGTTGTCTGAGAATAAACACAGTAAAGTCTCTTAAGATTTTTTTCCTTTAAAAATATTTTAAATCAGATTTAGTCTCCATTTTTAGGCATGGTAATCATGTAACTCATAGTAGATTATTCCTATCTAAAATTGTCTGTTTAGATAGAAATACTAAAAATGGATAAGGATACAGAAAATGCCTACAATGGTTAGCAGGTTTTTTTGGAGGGGGGTTTGTATCTAAATCAAAATGTATGTTTGCTCTGGAAATGGAATAGATTGGATCTGTTTTAGATAGAAACATTTCAGTGGTGAGGGTAGAAATGGGGAAAAGCTAATAGCTGTTGGGACTGGAGGAAATAAGGGCTCTGGAAACGTGGAATTGGATAAATGATGATATAAACTCTGCTGATCATGCTTCCCCATCTTGTAGGGGAGTTGGACTGCGTAAGAATGTTATAAATAAAATAAATAAAAATAAATCCAGATGTTTATATTTGTGTTAAACGAATGTATACATAATCTCAGTTTATGCAGGTTTTAAATATTTGCTTTTTAGGCCACAGTACTTTCTATATTTCTTTTTTTTTTTTTTTTGTCCTTTTAATTGCTAATGTTTTTTTTTCACACTGTGTTTAAATTAAAATTATTTAAAAAGGGGAACCACTCCCCTTTAGTACTCACATTGGCAATCTGACCCTTTAGTATTGAAATGATACTCCGAAGACCCTTTACCATCTCAATGGTGAAGTAGATCACAGCCCTGTAAAACACAAGATTGGAGAATATGATATTTATGCTGACAAATTAACCAACACATACTGAGAAGAACAATGTGTGCTCCAAAAAGGCTAAGAGAATTGCTAAGAGGAAATGGCTTTGCCCGGTATTTTCAAACAGAGAACAGGGAACATAGTCCTTTAGAAGAACAAGAGGAATCAATTATTTATGACCAGATAAGCCAGCACTTCTAAAATACATATATCTTCTGGTGAGCATCTTGAGACCTCTACCCACTGCATGTATAGAGCATTTAGAGTGGCCTTCAGGGACAGGAGGAAGAGCCAATATTAAGGCAAGCCCAGTTTGAGCCCACTGCAAGATACGAGTTTGAGTAAATATCTCAGACAGGCTTCTTCACACGAAGATAAAGTGAAAAAGCACTTTCAGACTTGCAAGTGTCTGTTACTGCAGCTGTTACAATGAAAATAGTACTGACCTACATGGCATGATTTCTTACTACTGGTATGGTCTATCTTATAAGGGCTGACATTGTGAGATGCAGGGATATAAAATATGTCATTACACTATGAGTGTAATATTGTGAACAAAATATCAACAGTTCAGCAAAAATAAAAAAAAATATTTCCTGAATTTTCATTAAAAAAAATATAAACTCAACAAACAAAACATAAAATTGTAAATGTTAAAGTAACAGCAAATTTTAAGATCTTAATAGTATAATGTATTTTACATCTTACATTTTAACATTAAAAACTATCTCAACTAAATTTCAAGTATTTTACTTAGCTTTGCATAAACAAAGAGGGCTTCTTAATGCTAAAAAACTTACTTCATGCTAAATATAATTATACTTGTACTATTTTTTTCTGCAGAGATTACCTCATATTCATAATTTTCTATATAATCATGCTGCTTTATTAGCCTTAGAATCTTTATTCCTTTTAATAAATTCAAAACTCTGCATTTCATGTTGGATAATTAGTTCAATTCTGAATCACACGGTGAATCAGGGAGTACTAATTTAACATTTACCATAATTACAAATTGTAAAAAAATAGCAATAGCACTTAGACTTATATGCCACTTCACAGTGCTTTACAGCCCTCTCCAAGCGATTTTACAGTGTCAACATATTGCCCCCCAACAATCTGGATCCTCATTTTACCGATCTTGGAAGGCTGGAAGGCTGAGTCAACTTTGAGCCGGTGAGACTCGAACTGCCGAACTGCAGTCAGCTGGCAGTCAGCAGAAGTAGCCTGCAATACTGCATTCTAACCACTGTGCACCATAACTCTTAAATTTATATGTATTGTATTTATCAATTTATTTTTTATTAAAAGTTTACTAATAAGTAAACTTTTTAAACTGACAGTTCATTCTATAACTCTTTACTAATACTGCACATAATTTGCAGTTTTAAAAATATTAATTGTATTTTAGATATCTTTCTATAATTCAGTCTCCATTTTACTTCTCCAAATCATTAATCATTTTCTATGCAATATTTTCAGTTAACTTTTTAAGGCTTTTTACATTGTTTGGAAGATCATAAATTAACACCTTTTCATGAACTTCCTAGAAGTTCAGATAAAACCAAACTAAACATTACATTAAACTAAAATCTACGGCAAATTATTCCTGTTTGACTTAGATACCCAGCAGCAGAAACCATCAACAACTTCTTATATATCCTGATGCTACATTAGGTTGAAAAATGGCATGCAGTCAACCTTTATCCATACTATTCAATTACTCAATTGCATGGTACATACATCTGCAAAAATATTTTATGCACCGTGGCTAACAAGTATTTATGATTTTCTAGGCTTAAATAAATTTGTCTTTTCAACTTACATCAACATTGCAATGATTAACAACAGGAAATAGGAAGTCTGGAAGAGGTTTTGATGGATCCAGGTAAACCAAGTGATATTTGGATTGGATTCTTCCAGCTTTAGTACCCATGCCTTCCAAGAATCATAGATGGTATCAAAAGTTTGAAAAGGTCCACACATTTCTGATGGTTTTATTCTGTATGGAGAAAGAGAAGCCGAGTATCAAAATGTCAAGCAAAAGGAAATGTAACTCATGTAACAACCACATTTTAATTCTTCATTTTACACATATGTAATCTGTATTGCCTATTATAAAACCAGTGTTTTCAGTATTCATTAAACACAATTTATAGCACCAACATATAAAAAGCAATTTTCCTCTTAACATATGTTCCTTCTTTATTTAACAATATATAAAAGATGTGCCAAAGGTGCTTTTTCAAAAGGCCAACAGCACTTAGCTTTTTCTTACATTTTTCGCTTCTCATTCAAGAAACGACTTCAGTTCTGACTATCAGAACTGAAGAAGCTACTTGGATGAGAAGTGAAACATCTTCAACAAAAAACAAAGTCTAGTCGCCTTTTGAAAAAGCATCTTTGGGATAACCATGACCTGGATGACTGAGAATCTCCATAGACATATATAAAAGATGCTGCATATGCAACTATGTGTGAATTGGAATTCTGAAAATGGAAAATAAAGCAGATTTAATTGTGACATCTACACTAGTGGAAAGAGCAATTTGCAACAGCTTAAGATACGTTTTTCAAAGGAAAAATAAGTGCTTTGTTAAAACAGCAACATACTAAAGGTTGCAATGACAGAATAATCACAGGGTCACTTTATTAGAAACACAGTCTATAGTTTCCTAACCTGACAACCAATTGTGTTAAAATGGTTCTGCTGCAAGTACTAATGAACTAGCATTGGTAAAAGACTGGCCTCTTAAGAAGAAAGGAACACTTTTTTTGGTGACATGGTAACTTGTATATGGGGTGGAGATACAAATTTTACAACACAATGCCTGTGAGAGCCCCCTTCTCCCTAAAACCACCAAAACTGAATCTGTTTTGTATTAGACAATGGATGACAGAATGGAGATTACAGAAATGTGGAGGAGGAAGTTTTGACTATTTGGTTTGAAATATTTCACATCTGGAATGTAACCGCAAGGTTATTTTGCACGGAAAATCTACTCACGCCCAGATAGTATAGGAGAGGAATACGGAGGCACCCAGGAATGAAGGGAAGCACAGCAAAGAGATGAAGATGGTGCTCATCTGAGATGCACGCCAGGGTTTGCTGGGACATTGACAATTTCTCATCAAGCTGACCTAAGACAGATTCATAGGAAAATTCATGGATTTTTACTTATTCCTAAGAGCAGTAATTTCTGAGTAAAACTTACATGCAGTATATATGTAAGTTGAAACAGGTGAACTATAGACAATAAATGCCTCTCCTCTGCTTTAAGGGTAATTTATGTCTAAACTCTGCAAAGGAATAAATAATGTAGGGTGATTTTAAGGAGGGGAAAATAAACCATGGCCAAAATATTTTCTTCTGCAAATGTAACCTCCCAAAGCATTTTTATACAAAAAATATTTTACAAAAATAACTCTAATTCACATCTCAGAGTAACGGTGCATTTCATTCACTGCTGCTTCTGAATGCGTGAAATAAACATCTTCCTCTTGGGCCAGAACACCTGATGGATTTGCCTTTCTGTAAATGGTCTTCTGGTCAACGCAGCTCCTCCCATTCAATATGATTTGCTAACTTTTCCATTCTGCCGGGGGGTGATATTGTATACTGGTGATATTGATACTGACTGGTGTCTCTAATATTGTACCCACTTCCACACTCCTGTCCTTTGTCCATGCATGCTGCCAGCCAGTGGTGGGTTTCAAATTTTTTTACTACCGGTTCTGTGGGTGTGGCTTGGTGGGCGTGGCTTGGATGTGGCAGGGAAGGATACTGTAAAATCTCCATTCCCTCCCCACTCCAGGTGAAGGTTACTGCAAAGTCTCAATTTCCTCCCGATCAGCTGGGACTTGGGAGGCAGAGAATAGATGGGGGCGGGGCCAGTCAGAATTTTTACTACCAGTTCTCCAAACTACTCAAAATTTCCGCTAACGGTTCTCCAGAACTGGTCAGAACCTGCTGAAACCCACCTCTGCTGCCAGCCAAGTAAAGCAACGTGCATCAGAACTAATAAAAATGGCAACTAAATTACCTTCTTAACATAGAACAACAGCAGCAATTTGAGGATTTGGACCACAGGAAGAAGTGGGGCAAAGAAAACCCCCAGCCTAAGAATAAAATTAAAAAGATGAAGAAATGTTATTATATTGCTTAGCTGTTATTTCATTAAGATGCAATGCACTAACACAATTCCACACTTGACCCCATTTGCTTAAGTAATACAAAGCTTTGATTTAGAGATGGAAATGGACAGACCAGAGAATGAACTATAGTGAACATCAAGGTTCCATTTCACATACATGTCTTTGAGGTTAATCCAATGTATTTTTTTAAAAACTTAAAATATATACAGTAAATGTGTTGGGGAAGTATTTTGAAAACTTTGACAAAGGCAAGGTACAATTATTTTAAATCAGCGTCTAAAGATCAACATACTTTGAAGCTTGTAATTGGGTTTTTCTGTATAAAGAACAAAGCAAGAAACAACCAACAGAAGGAAAAGAAAGAGTCTCACCAGGTTAAGGTTTGACCATAAATCAAATCTAGCACATTTCTAGCAATGTCAAATTCAGGCCTCTGTTTACTTTGTAACTTCTTTTCCAATATGATCCTGTAAAGAAGAGAGAAGAGGCCTTGCTTAAAAATTCAAAAATCGATTTTGGTGTTGCTATAATATATATAAAATCCTCTATATATTTTTATTCAAAATATCAAGCAAGTTATTTCATTTCTGGAATATTTGTCTACTAAGTAAAAAAAGACACATTTTTCAGACCCCCAAAGTTTCCACTTTAGGAGTTGACCCTTTATGTTGGCATTTATTTACCTGGAGTAGCATCATCATAAGGGGTTAACAACACAATCCTATTGGAGGTTACTCTGAAACAAGTCCAATATACCTAACATAATTAGAATTATATTTAGGATGACACGTAGAGTAGTTCTTGTTTTTAGCAACTGCCTTGGATAGCAACCGTCTGCGGATACATGGTGATGAAAAAGCAACTTTACAATGTTTGCTACGTGCCTCTGTCACCTCTTGATCATTACAATCAGCTAGTAAACATTATCCTGTGACTGACTCGTTTTTTTCCTACCCCTTCCCTTCACACAGCAGAGACTGCCTAAACAAGCTCTCTTTTCCATAGCTGCTTTTCAAGGCAATGTAACCTTCCTTAGAAAATGCTAAGGGAATGTTAACAAGGTCAGCTCTGTGACAATTAATCAGCTTGACTGAAATTAATCAGAATCTAATCAGTTTCACACTAAAGGTTTTTGTTTGCCTCCTTTGTAGTTTATGGCTGGCACTTCAGCTACAGTAATCCCCCTTTAACAACCATTCCTTCAGCAATCCTTTTGAAGTTATGACAACACTGAACCAATGATTCAAAATTATGGCTATTGTGGTGCCTCTGCAGTCAGGGCAGAGATGGGGAAGACGGGTGGTGGGAAAGACAGAGTAGGGAGAGTGGGGAGTTGGGGAGCCGAAGCAGAGGCAAGCCTGGAAGGGCAGAAGCACAAGATCCTTGCCTAAGAACCAAAAGTGGGATTACTGAAACTGCTGTTACTAAGCAGTGTGGTCACATGATGTTTCACCTAATGACCTCATTGCTTAGTGATGGAAATTCCAGTCCCAATTAGGCTCACTAAGCAATGACTACCTGTAGCGCATTCCTTTTGTTGCGTCTTCCTCCTTTTGTGCCTGCTTAATTTCTTGTAGTTTCTTCCTCTCCAATGAATGTAAATACAAATATCAATATCAATTCTTGCTAACTATCCTAGTGCCCAGGTGAGCACTCTAAAGGGCAGGGAGGGGGTAAAAAGGCTATAAGATTTGCCCTTTTACCTGGCTTCCTCATGACTCAAATGCTGGAAACCTTCCCTACCATTTGGGCTCCCCTGGCAGTTGGGGTCATATCCTTCTGATGCTATAAAGCAAGGGACAGTCGAAGTAAAATTGTAACCACTATCACACGATTTTTTACTGTTTTACTTCATGACCGAGTTGTTGGTCCCAACTGTGGTCACTAAACAAGAACTACGGTACCTGTATAATATAGTATATGGATCAATTTTTTCTTCCCATTGCAATAAAGGGTAAATCTCTTATTTTTAATGCCCGAAGATAGCATCCTATGCTCTTTCACAGCTATGTAACCTCTATCCTTAATCTTATTCAAAAACATGCATAAGCAGAGTGGTACAGGCAGTCTTTGACTTACACTCATTTGTTCAGTCACCATTTGAAGTTACAACGGCAGTGAAAAAAGTGGCTTATGACCAGTTTTCATACTTATGAGTATGTTGCAGTATCCCCATAGTCGTGTGATCCAAATTTGCCTGCTTGGCGATTGGCATGCATGTATGGTAGTTGCCCTGTCCCCAGGATCACATGATCCCCATTTGCAACCTTCCCAGCTGGCTTCTGATCAGTAAAATTAAGGGGGAAGCCAGATTTGCTTGACAACAACACGATTCACCTAACAGTGACAAAAAGGTTGTAAAACGGGCACAACTCACTTGACAAACGTCTTGCTTAGCAACCGTAATTTTGGCTCAATTGTGGCTGTTAAGTCGAGACTACCCGTAGGGCATATTTCTTTTGATTACCTGTGTATTAAGATTTAGAGTATGTTGCCTACATTAAACAGGTATGTGCCCCACCATTTGATGGAATCAGGTGGAGAACATCTGATTGCCCCTGTATTATCTCCATTGTAATTATTACCTCCATATCAGCTCTCCAAAGATGACATCCAGGAGAATGAAAATCAAATCCATCACCATCAAACGGTAGAGCTCCTGCCCCACAAAGGTTTCCCAGCACTGTGGAAAGATAAGCGTCATTTGCATCAGAGCAGGCAGATGAGCTTCTCTCCATTCAGCCTTCCCTATCCCCTTTACAGAAGTCAAATGAACACCGAGTAGCAGGCTAAATCAAAGTTAACAAAAATGTACTGCTCAGTTCTTTTGGCACCTGGTTACTCCTGGAGGAAGCTAACAATGCTTAATGCAGGATCTCTTTCAATGTCTAGTCCTTCAGGCTGAAGTCCCATCATTCTATAAAACTTACAGCTTCTTTGGAGCAGAGACCACCTTTTGAACAGAACAAAGCTTGAAGAGCGGGTGGTGCTTCTTGATTCCCATATAAAGGAGTGAATCACAATAGATCTAAAGAGCTGTCCCCTTATGCTCTTTGTCTGTGTCATCTTGGCTTGTATTTGGGAGCAAGCTGCTGAGATCATAAGAGAAGGGAACATTAAAAAGTCCTGTGCCAGAGTTTTGACTCAAAGGAAAAAGACTGAGGAGCCTTTAATACAAATGAAAAGGCAGGGAAACGTATTGTAACTTGGAATGGACTGCAGCCATATGAGAAGTGGCAGAACGCATCTATAGAAGAATGCATCCATGAACACCAACTGACAGATATGAGGAAAATTATTTAATTTCACAGCATATCGACATGATTTAAGCATAGTTTCAATTGGGAAAATGTGACAATCCTAGACTAGGCTAAGTCCAAAAATTCCAGGGAATTTCTAGAAGCCTGGCAGAAATCAGCCATCAATAGACACATAGACATTAACAACATCTATAGACTATCAACCAGCCCAAAAGAGAACAAAAACACTCCAGCATCTCTCCTCCAGTAATCAGCACCCAGATCATAGATTAACTCCAAGGTTAACTTCAATTAACAAGCTGCCAAAGACCCATCAGTAAACAGCCCAATGAAAGAATCTCTAAGACCGCCCCCACCCACACAGACAGGCAAGACACCAGAATATAAACTGACAACAGCAAACAGCAAACAGCACTCCTTACTAGCACTGATGATGTTACCTAGTTAGGGTAATGAAACATCTGCAAGAAAACAAGCAAGCTCAGGGAGCACCAAGGACCCCCTCATATGGGAAGTCTCAGTGGCAACACTGTGCCACCAGGTATCTATTACTACAGCATTTATAATGTAACTGTCTTCTTAGCTGCAATAATACAGGAATGCTCAGATACCTCTCCCTGGCATGCAAACACTCACAAACCTAGTAAAATGTACTTTGAAGCCCAGGATGCAATACTGAATCTGCTCTTGCACTCTTTCCAGAGCTCTGTGCTCATCAGCTTCTCTCTTATTGGAAGCATGCACTCACCAAGCCTATCAGAGCCTATCATACCACCTGCCAGAGGTGGTATTCAGCAGGTTCTGACCAGTTCTGGAGAACCGGTAGCGGAAATTTTGAGTAGTTTGGAGAACCGGTAAATACCACCTCTGGCGGGCCCCGCCCCCATCTATTCTCTGCCTCCCGAGTCCCAGCTGATCGGGAGGAAATGGGGATTTTGCAGTAACCTTCCCCTGCCATGCCCACCAAGCCATGCCCACCAAGCGACGCCCACAGAACCAGTAGTAAAAAATTTTGAATCCCACCACTGCTCCCTGCCATGCAGAAAGAATCTATGGGCCTGGGAAGAAATGTCTTGCTTGGAAAAAGCAGGAACTCCATTTCGAATACTGTACTAGCGAGTTTGGGTTGTAGTCTAAAACTCAGGAATCTCTTTCCTCCATAAAACTATAGCGTAGTTTAGTTTAATAATCCTGCAGAATTGGCTGTATTGAAGGTGGGCATTTGGCAATCTCCCAATCCCTTTGTTGCTCTCTCCAGATGCACTGCAAATTTGGGGAGCCTGATTGTCAAAAACTAGTAAAACATAGAAAATGGTATTCTCAGTGCCCACAAAGAAAAAGGAAACGTCTGCTTCTGCCCACATGGATGTGTGTGCCTGCCCATTTCATATCCTCAACCCACTCACCACAGCTTATGACCCAAGAGAAAAGCCACACTTACGTCTGGATGACCAGTCTTATTCAATGGGAAAAACTACTCCCTGCAGAACCCCTTCATGTCCTAAAGGCCCTTTCTCTCTTCATAACTGGCAGTCACGGGTTGTCGTTCTGGGATAACCCACACTGGATTGACCAAGAGAAAAAGCTCTTTTGTTCTACAACTCCTAAAACCATTGATTCGTGGTTGGCCTAATGTAAGAGGGGCAGAGCCATTAACCCTTTTTGAACTGTTCCAGGAACAGTCTTGAGTTACTTCAGATCTGAACTGACCTGAATCTCTGAAGATGTCACTTTCCAACTCAACCAATGGTAGGACAGTAGGCCCAAGATGATCGTCTTGAGAATTAAATTCCTGGGGAAAAAGAAATAAAAAGAAAAAGCCTAAGAAAAAGTTTGCTTTTGGATCAGAGGAATCACCATCAGATATCCTCTCTCCCTGCTTCTCTTGCCTCCCTCCAGTTGACACCTGGAGCAAGGAAGGCCTCTTTTATCAAGGAGGCAGACTGTGGGCAGAACAAGAAAAGGGAAGCAGATTAAGCCCCAAGTGCTTCCTCTTTTCTAGCTGCACAATAAAAACAAAGGTACAAATGGCTCTTTCTATTACAAAATCATGTATACCATGATTTAGCTCACTTCTGCAAGCACAGCTCACCCGTCTTGTCCTATCACATGCTTCTGGCTGGACTGCACAAATTGTTTTATGGGGAATGGAAAAGAAAAGCATTGAGGGCTGAGCTTTTTCTGTGCAATACTGCTGGTGGAAATGGCTTTTAAATCCCTTTTATAAACGGTTAATAATATTGCAACAATGTGATGCGGTCGAGCCCCGTTCACCCTGCATTTCAGCTGTGAGATTTTTTTTAATTACCTGGTAATGGCAATGTACACCTCCAGGACTGGAGATTCCTGTTTCTCCCACGCAGCCAGGAGGTTGTAAAAATAGGGCATAAGCAAGTTAATGAGAGACACAACCAGAGGCAGGGCCAGGAGCAGCAACTCTTTCCCAGCATGGTTGTTTTTCAAAATCTCCTCATGCAGAACCTAAGAAGAAAATCATTCACATGCATTTATATTCCACTTTTTCACTAAGAAACCAAGACAGCATAGAGAGTTTTTCCCTGATGCTATTGTTCTTTATCTGCATCCGATCTTCATTATATTTACAAATAACTCAAGGCAGCAAACATATGCAACTCACCTTCTTCCTCCTATTTTCCCCACAACAACAACTCTGTGAGGTGAGCTGGGCTGAGAGAGATTGATTGGCCAAGATCACCTAGATAGCTTTCATGGCTAAGGTGGGACTTGAACTCACAAGCTCCTGCTTTCTAGCTCGATGTGTTAACCATTAGTCCAAACTAGCTTTCCCACACCATACTGTAAGCAATCTGGGATAGGCTAAGGTGATTAGCTTAATGTCACCCAATGAGTTCCATGATTGAGCAGAGACTTGACAGATGGTTACCCTGGTTCATGACCAACATCTTAATCAGTGCATCATGATACCTTGCTATTCAATGCATTAAATGCCCAAAGAATACATGAAACCACCAGGAAAAGTAGCATGTCCACATTCAGTGCAAATGGAACTGTCGATATGGAACATGGAGAATTTCCCTCAAACTGAACTTTCGCTCAAATCCCTATAGACAAGTTGGGCCATTGTAATTAGTTAGCAGAGTGTGTGCAATAATTCCATGATGACTGAAGAATTACTGTTTGTTTGAAACAGTCATCTTGGAAAAGAGGCTTCTTTCACTGCAGTTAAGATGGCTGACGGTAGCTCAATGCTCTTGGCCCCGATTATGATTCTGCTGAAACTAAGAGTTTAATTTTATTCCCAAGAATGGTTATTTTATAGAAGCCAAGTATAACCACAGTGTGTTTGTTCTCTATAGTTACAACTCTCATCGGACAAAGCAAGCATGAAATGTTGGCTGAGTGTGATGAGAACAATAAAACAATATGCCTAGAGAATGCAAGGTTAGGAAAGATCACTCTATTACAACCCTCACCTATGCTCTTACATTCATTTATTTTCTTCATTGATGTATACATTACATTTTATCCTGTCCAGTAATAGCTTTCTGACCATAAACATGGTTATTAAATTTTTTTCTTCAGTTCAATTGTCTTATTTTCAGAGACTGCCTGGACAAGTTCCTGCAGATTTTTTTGGGCAAGATTTTCTGATAGGTGCTTATGACAGTATATAAATGCATGAATCCAAGACTTACTGTTATTGGTATATGTGTCATGAGCAGTGGCATCTCCCAGGAAGGGGGAAAAAAACCCAGGAAGACAGCAGTTGCAGCTATGCAACTGAAGTCCTGCCCCTTTGTATGTGCCTGCTGCAACCACCATCCTGCCTGCTTTGACTTCCCTTTCTCAGAGGCTCCTGCCACTCCTGAGCCTTGATTTATTATATGAGTCCAGAAAATGATCTCATTCTCATGATTCTCTCCCAGGAAGCAGGAGCAGGTATCTGAACAGGAAACCTATTGCTCACATACCTGATGTACGTATTTAGAAAAGTAGTGTATACCAATGGCAGTGCCTGCAACAGTGCTCAGGGATACAGTCCAGGTCACCAGCAAGACCACGAGTTCCTGAAGTTTCTTAGAAAAACTTAAACAGGATTCCAGCCTCTGCTCAGCCAGACACTCCTGGAAAAAAATGAGAAGAAAAACACGATACAGATACAGAGAGAGAGGGAGGGAGGGAGGGACACAGAGAGAGAGAAACAGCTCAGTTCATGATTAAAAGGGATTAAGCATGTGACTCAATAATGAAAGTACAGTTATGTCTTAACACATAAGTAGATTCTCAATGAATGAGAAGTCAGCACTGATTTTTCGGAAAGGAAATCTCTGGAGAGGGACTAGAGCCTCAAAAGTGAACTGTAGGCTTTAAGTGGCAATGTGATGTAAACAAAAATAGGCAATTACAGGAAAAGACAAGCTTCAGGCAAATTATATTGAAACCTCCAGGGTACATAAAATCTTATCTTGGATGCAATCTACATCTCTCTATTAATGCTCAGTACTACCACTCTGAGAAGGCTTTGCCACTGAGCATGAATAGGCCAGGTTTCCTATTCTGCCCATGTCCTCTCTCCTGCTGCTAAAAAGATAGGATGGAAATTTTTTGTCGTCACTGTTGTTGGCATGAAGATCAAATTTCCATGGAGTATAATGTAGTCAGTGACCTATCACTAGCAGTTGCACCCTTCCCTCCCTCTTGACCTGCCAAGGAAGGGGCAGATAGCTCCTTGCCAAAAGACTAATCTGACTGCTTGCAGAGACCAAAAGCTGCAAATTGCTCACTTCACCCACAGTTTCAGAATTAAGAGGCACACTGGTACATGTTTTTCTCTTGCCCTCCTGTAAAATGCACTACGCATATTTATTTCTTGCAGAAAGAATCCCTTTGTCCTGACTGAAGTATGAACAGTTGAGACAGGGAACGTCATAAGTTCAAGGCAGTAGGTTTGATTCTTGTTCACTAAAATGTCCTGTATCATGAGGGGCAAGAAACATTTTAGGCACCACACGGGATGGTACTATTGCTAGCATGGTTGAGGAAGTTAGCTATAAGGAAAAGAAGAAAATGGCTCAAACATTCACATAATTTGAAACTCTGTAAGCATTCAGCCAAAGGATATAATGGAAAGTTGGGATTGTTCCCCTTCTTTTGCACACTAGGGCTGTAGCAGCAGGCAAGATGTCAGTCAGAATTTACAGCTACTGGCTAACCTACTTGCAGAAAGATTGGTGAAAATGAAGATTTGTGTGTATTCAGCATTAAAAGGCTGCACCATTTCTTTCAAATGCACTCTCAGCTAAACCTGTGACTTCTCATTTCTGTTCTCTGTTTCACTAACACTGGAGATTTTATTTCCCAGTTAATTTAGTTCTTGCATTTTCACAGACTACACAGCTCTGTTCAGCACTTACCTTCAGATGTGTGCGAATGTTCTCACTCTGGAGTTGGACTGAGCGTTTCTGAATCACTTTGTAATCCCAGGAACAGAAGACTTTGACTGCCAGGTTACTTGAGGCACTGCCTACACGATAACTTTCCCCAAAGGAGTGAGACAAACTGTGAGGAGAAAATAAGACATCATTAGACAAGCATCAGTTTTAAACTGTTCTCCAAGGAAGAGCCTTTGTGGTCACTCTGTTAGCTGCAAGCATGAAATTAACTGTCTGGTGGAAAGTTTGGCAGGGCTATAGGCAAATTTCACTGTATTTAATAGGCAGGTATTCCTATGTAAGATTGTAGATAAGCTTAATATTATAAATTTAGTAAATCGCCTGAGGCAAGATTGCTACGAGCACTGGGAAAGCTATAATAGGAATAATGTTATTCCTATTGCTATAACAGGAATAATGTTAAGAGTATTTGATATCAAACCATTTCTTGGGGGGGGGGATGGGCATTTTGAAAATGATGAATAGCAAGTTATTTAATTATTTAAATCCGTTTTAAATGATCATATTAAGAAGCCTGAAATTGTTTTGAAACAATCTACAATATTTATGTTCAAATTATTTATGTGTAAATTACACAAGACTTGCAATATAATCCTATGTTGCAGAAATAAGACCCCCCCCCCTCACAAGTTCAGTGAGGCTAATTTCTGAGTAACCATTTCTCTTGCTTTCTTAGTGGCAATCCTATATACTGTAGTGTATCGGTCTGATGATTCTACTAAGATGTCCCACAATCCTTTGCTCTTGGTCCAGATGGACCAGGCTTTTGTATTTTGAAATACAAAAGTCTGGGGGAGCAGCAGAGCTTCCTCTCCCTGTTGCTGAGAATCACAGCCAAGAAAAATAAATATTGATAGGTAGGAGAAAACCACTTGGGGTAACGATAAAAATAATGTTTATTTAAATCCTACCTGAAAGGGATGCAAATACATATTAAATGCATTTAGGAAGACTGTTCTTATCCCAGGCAGAAAAGAAAGGATCAGCTGGGCTCTTATTCAAAGGGAAGCTTAATAGGCATCTCATCTCACCTGTAGATCAAGAGAAAGCAGATTCCAAAGAAGGCACTTCCAGTAACAAAGAGGTAAGCCAGAGGCATATTGTAGGACATCTGGCTATGTGTGTGTTGCCTGTAATGGGTGCTATTAGCTTCAGAAGCATCAGGGGCATTCAGTGTGAAATTACTGTAGTAGCCATAATACATCACTGTGTGACTGAAGTAGCCCTGTGAAGAAAATACATTATTGTCAATCCTTTGGAGGGTTATCCTTTCCTGAAGAAGATGGCCCTGGCTGTAACCATACTGAAATACTTCACTCTTTGTTAAAATTACAGCCACAGATGATTCATGGAAATGGTCTTACACAGGTGCCAAAATCACATAAAAGTAACCTATACCCCTTGAGCAGGGGTTCTCTGTCCGGTTGCTGGGTGGGTGTGGCCATGGTGGGCATGGCCTAGTTGGCCTCCTGCACCACAGCCAGGAGGGGGGGCATTTTTGCCCTCCCCAGGCTCCGGAGGCTTTCCTTGAGCCTCTGGGAGGGTGAAAACAGCCTCCCCAGGCTCCAGAGGCCCTTCCGGTAGGCCTGTTTTTCCAGTAGGCCCATTTTTCACCCACCCCAAGCCTCCGCACGCGCCCTGCACTTACCTGCATCCAAAATGGGCCGCGTGGGGACTCCTGGGAGGGGTGGAGCAGGGTGGGTGGTGCGGAGCCAGCCAGGAGTGGGATTTGGGGGTTCTCCGAACTGCACAGAATCTTAGCTAGCGGTTCTCCCAAACACCTGCGAACCCCCAGCAGCCCACCCCTGCCCTTGGTCTAGTTCAAACACTATTCTTTTGTTTCTGGAACAAGTTCACCTTTCCAGAGTTTAGACTACAAGCAGAAACACTGGTAGTGAACAGGCATCTATCAATCATCTAGACATGTGCTACAGACTAAAAGTCAGTAGGTGTGTTGTTTACTATGGCAATAATCTAATCTAATACCGTAGATTGGCAAGCAAAAGTTTGACTCTGGTAGAAGGTTATGGACTGAAAGTCAAAGGCAAAATTGACAGACATCAATAGGTTATACTTTTCCCATTTTTTCTCATAGTGCAGGAGTCAGGCTTTATCTGGATTTTAAAATAATCTTTTCATGGGCTAAGCGAAATTTCTACTGGATAGATTAGAGAGAAATATGTCATTATAAGTATTCACAACTGCTGGTGATACACTCTGTTAATTAATTCTATTAGTTGGATGGGGGTTTTGTTGTTGTTTTTTAGCGTATGGCACATGTTAGCCAGGGATCACTGAGGTGGCTGGCTGCCTCTGTGAAAGGATTTTTTTCGGTCTTTACCCGTGGGACTAATTCTGTTAGTAAAGGAAAGCTATCGGATTTCAGGAATACTCACTGCTCCAGTTAAGAGCTCAGATCCTGTGAAAGCCACATTGTTGGGTATGGCAGAAGGGAAAGCAGCCTGCACAGCAACTACAAAGACCAGCAGGATCAGGAACATAAAGAGATTGAAGAAGAGCAACGTCCTGAGGAATAGGAAATAGGAGAGGATGCTAGAGCCAAAGCGGCCACTGATCTTCTTGAGGGAATAATGCCAGGGCTGGAGAATAGGAATGAAGGACAGCAGATTGTACCAAAAATTCCGGAAGCCCTGCAAGAAAAATGGATACAGAAGGGTCAACTTCAGATGAAAACATGACAAGACAACGACTTTGGAGTAACCTTCCAACCCCTTTTATTTGACAGAAAATAATAGTATAGTCCAACATGTATCAGAAACATATCACCCCAGCCTTCATTATGAGAAACTCTCTCAGTCTTATTGTGTCATAACAGAAATAGGGATTGCAATTGCCTACTTGAAGGAGTACTGCAAAAAATTAAATGTTTGAAACAATATTTAGCACAATAGAAGTGTGGTAATTGACTATTTCTCAAGCCCAGAACACTATTAGCAAAAGCATTAAAATATGGAAAGAGAAGTCTTCCGGGAACTCAGATTATTAAACTCATGTTAAAGGGAGTGCGTACTTCTGCTTCATCATCTTCTTCTTATGCTATAAAAAATTGTTGCTGAAGGGAAGGATTTGCAGCTTCCGCTGGAGTGAAGAAACATTCCGTGCCTCCAAGTAGGAATTATTTCTATTTGCCTGGCAAGTTATGTTTCTTGGCAAGAAGACCACAGCAGCTCCCTTTCCTATTGTCCCAAAAGCTCTAGCTTATTTTTCTGAGCCTGCTTGAACCAAAAGCCACTTTTCCCATCCTGTTCACCAGAATTTGGCAAACGGCAAACCCCCCTGCTTCATAATCAACACAGTGACCAAGAAAGATTCTCCTAAAACTTGCTAATGCTTTCTTGATAAGTATAAGTATAAGACTATCAACATAATAATTTTAAATTGGGGTATTTTAAATTTCTGGGGTTTTAAATTGAGCCAAATTTATTTAATAATTTTAAATTTTTAATTGATGTTTGTCTTGTGTTTTTAAATAGGCTGTACACTGCCCTGAGTCCTTCGGGAGAAGGGCAGTATAGAAATAAAATTATACTTATACTTATATCAAGAATTGGCAAAAAGACCTTCCAGAGTACTTTCCCCAACTCTTTGAATAGTCACAAATTTCACAGAAAGACTCCAGTGAAAGTTTCCTTTCTCATAGCAGCGTGAGAAAGACACAGAAAGTCCTCTGAGTTCACTTATTTCTCACCTACCACAATAAAAGTCAAGTGGGGCACATGGCTTACTATTAGGATGTGGTATTTAATCCAGCTGCAGTAAGACAAGCGACCCGTTGGCTTGGGTTTCCTCAAGGTGCCTGAATGCCCGCTTGAATCCTGCCTGTAAGAGATGAGGGGCGGGGGGGTGGGGAGAGAAGTGAACTTAAAACATGGCAAAAGTTGTTTTGGGGAGGAAGAGCAGTGAAGTAGATTCTCTCCTCCAAAAGCAGCTTATGACCAGAACACTAACAAGGATTAAAGGCCCTCACCTGAGTCTGCGCTTCTCAGCCAAGCTTAGAGGCATCATCTGCAGCATGTGATTGCGTTGATGTACTGGCAGGTTCTGGAGTTCTTTGACCAGCAAAATATACTTGGCTATGGAGGAAATGCAGAGGTGAGGTCAGAGGTCAGGCAGCCCAGCTGCATCTCCAGTGCAAACATTTGGATTACAGAAAGGAAAAAAGGATGCTTTCCTTCCTCCACTTTTAATTAGGATCACCTTTTTTCTTTAAAGGTATAGGAAGGTGAAAAAAGAAATGCCACCTTCTCTACTAAAAGCAAACATATTGTGGCCTTTCATGGCAAAGCTGACCAAGAAAAGAACCCTGACAAAGTCATCTTTAGAGGTTAAATAAGGGAGCAAGGGTACTCTCACTCTCAGGTCTTCTGGAAGTGTACATTGTTCCATCTCTTTCAGTGAGGAATATTATAATGGCCTCCCCCCCGAATCAAGTTTGACTCTTCAGGATTTCATGGATACTTTCCTAGTTTTCCTCTCCCAGAATACGTCCTAACTTCACTCTCTAGCATTTTCCCATCTAGGTCCCAATCAGGTCAAACCCTGCTTGGGTTTGCAAAATCAGTCAAAGACGACTAGCTGCTCCACCGAGCAGGACATGTTGTAACACTTCATCGCTATTTTGTGAGAAGCACTGAGAGATTACAATGCCTGAATGGCTGGATTATATACTGAGAATGATCAAGATGATTTCTTTATGATAAGCACCCGTGGGGGTGCAGTGGTTAGAATGCAGTTAGTTAGTTAGTTGCGAAGTCGTGTCCGACCCATTGCAACCCCATGGACAATGTTCCTCCAGGCCTTCCTGTCCTCTATCATCCTCTGGAATCCATTTAAGCTACTGCTTCAATTATTCCATCCAGCCACCTCATTCTCTGCCTTCCCTTTCTTCTTTTGCCCTCAATCTTTCCCAGCATTAGGCTCTTCTCCAGTGAGTCCTTCCTTCTCATTAGGTGGCCAAAGCAGTATTGCAGGCTAATTCTGCCGGCTGCCAGCAATTCGATCCTGACTGTCTCAAGCCTTCCATCCTTCCGAGGTCAGTAAAATGAAGTCCAGGTTGTTGGGGGCAATATGCTGACTCTGTAAACCGCTTAGAGTGTGCTATAAAGCACTGTGAAGTGGTATATAAGTTTAAGTGCTATTGCTATTGCTACTCTTAATAACTGCACGATAACTTAAATATACACTTCTATTTTTCTTGCACTACTTCTCTGCTTAGTAGGCATCTTCCTACTCTTTTAGTCAACTTACGGTCTTCTTCTCTGTAACTGGAATCCAACTCTAGGGACAGCTCTCGAAAACTAGGCCGTGCAGAACGGGATACTTCCTGGAGAGGGGCACGGTTGCTCCGTCGCCGTCGCCTGGCAGTGCGGTTGCAATACTGGGACAGGATGGCTCCTCTGCTGCGCCCTGCAAATGAAAGGGAAGACCGTCACTACAGAAAGGAGAAAAGGATGGTCCTCTATGCTAATTCCCACATTTCACATGCCCTATCCTGAAATTCTTCTTCATCAAAAGAAGTAGACAGGGGCTACACGGGAGCATCACAACTCACCAATAGTCCGGCTGGGCATATTGGCAAGGATGCGCAATGTGGTGGAAGAGAAATCAGGGTGCTCAACCAGCCGTGCATATGGGTTCCAAGTTCCAGTCGGATCTGAGGGATGAACCAGATTTTCTGGAGAAAAAGAAAAGTGCTCGATACAACCTCTCTGCATTGCCAAGTTGCTATGAATTGTCCTGTCAAAACTGAAATCTCCACATCTTCCCTTCTTCTTCCTTTTGTGCCATTTCCCCAAATGAGCATGGTTTTTTTCCTACTGTAACATTTTACAACTTAGACATCCATTCTAAATTTATTTTACTGTTTCCTACAGCAAATATTTATAACATGGCAGATTACTAGGTGGACTGAGTCACTCCCTGTCGTTTACAGGACAGAGATCCTTGTGCCAATACAGTTGTGTACAGGCAGTTGTGTTTCAGAAAAAACAAAAGATTCCAAATCCAAGTTTCACAAATAACATAATAATGAAATGCTCAAAATCAGCTCTAGAGCAACAATAGGTAAAATTTTTAGCAAGCACTTAGACTCATATACCACTTCATAGTGCTTTACAGCACTCTCTGGGCAGTTTATAATGTCATCATATTGTCCCAAAAATCTGAGTCTCATTTTACCAATCACAGAAGGATGGAGGGCTAAATCAGCCTTTGAGACCCCTCAGGATAAAACTCCTGCCCATGGGCAGAGTTAGCCTGCAATACTGCACTTTGACCACTATCCCACCACGGCTCAAAATACATGAGCATGAGAAAAATCAAGGGCAAGACCTCTAATTCTTATCAACACTTTATATGAATCACACAAATGAGTTATTTTGAAGGGGAGGAAAATAATATTCTTAGCTTTTGATTGGGAGAAGAATAAAGTCCTAACACTCACTTTCATAATGGACATATGAATCATTTAAATTCTGTTTCAGGTGTTTGAAGGCAGCTGCCCCATGAAGTGAACCACTGAAATGCAGATAGAGGTTTCTCAGGCCTCTTCTGCATAGTCTGCTGACCATGGCAGGAAGATGCCTTGATGATTTCAGAAAAACATGGACAAAAGATGTGGTCTTTAGCCAGTGGAACAGATTGCCTCCAGAAGTTGTGGGTCACCGGAGGATTTTAAGAAGAGATTGGACAGCCTTACTAAATGAGGTAAGGAAGGAAGAGGACATAAAGGGACTACGGATACGAAACGAGGAATATAAATTACAGGCCTTCGCCGATGACGTGGTGTAAATAATGGAACAACCAGAAATAGTAGGAACTAAATTACTGGTGAAGATAGAAGAATACGGCAAAGTAGCGGGTCTCAAAATTAACAGACAAAAAACTAAAGTCTTGGCAAAAAATCTGACTAAGACACAAGAGACAAAATTGGAAGAAGAATTAGGAATACAGATTGTAAAGAAAGTAAAATATTTGGGAATTTGGATCACTACAAAAGCAACAACGATTAGAGAGGATAACTATATTAAATTGATGAAACCAATTAAAAAGGATTTGGAAATATGGAACAAATTACAGTTGTCACTTTTGGGCAGAATAGCATCAGTAAAAATGAACATATTACCGAGATTACTTTACCTCTTTCAAGTGATACCAATCGGCCCAGGAAAAGATTTCTTCAAAGATCTCAATAAGATAAGGCAAGGAAAGAAGGCCAGAATTAAAATAAAATACTTACAGGACACCCGTGAGAAGGGAGACCTTGGTTTATCAGACTGGGAGTTATATTATAAGACATCGTCATTAAATTGGATTAGGGAATGGATAGACTTAAAAAACAAGAGAACGTTGTACTTAGAGGGATTTGATCTGAATCAGGGCTGGCACGCCTTCTTATGGGAAGGCACAGATAAGCAACATGGGTATTTTCAGCGGCACATTATCAGAGGCGCATTATACAAAACGTGGCAAGAAATCAGAAAACAACACTACACTAAGATCCCGCGTTGGTTGTCGACTATGGAAGCGTTAATCTACCCAAATACCATAGAAACAGGAAAGATGAGGAATTACCAAGAACTACTGAGTAGTGAAGGAGATTTATACACGAGGCAAGAATTGGAAAGCCGGGGAATAGTTATCGATTGGTGGCCATACTGTCAAATAAAGTCAAGATATATAGCAGATCGGACACAATATGGATTTCAGACTGAACCGAATGAACTAGACAAGATATTAAAAAGTACAGAGGAGAAAATGATAACCAAAATTTACAGATATTTAATAAATTACAAATTGGAGGAGGAAACGGTGAAAGAAAATATGATAACATGGACAAAAAATATAGGCCACAACATAGAATTGGAAAAATGGGACAAATTATGGACAGAAAATCTTAAACTGACAATGTCGATACCAGATAAAGAAAACCTTTATAAGATGTTTTACAGATGGCATCTTCCACCGGCACGTTTGGCGAAAATGTTTCCAAATGTGTCACCAATGAGTTGGAAATGCAAGTCGCAAAAGGGGTCATATTACCATCTCTGGTGGTCTTGTAGAAGAGCACATTACTGGCAAGAAATTAAGATAATGATAGAAGAAATAACGAAACAGAAGGTCGATATGAAACCGGAATTTTTCTTACTCGGAATGACCACACCACAACAGACTAAAGAGATAAAATATCTCATTATCCATATCCTAACAGCAGCACACATAGTATACGCTCAAAATTGGAAATCAGAACTATTACCAACAGAAGAAAAAATAATCGCAAAAATAACAGAATGTGCAGAAATGGACAGACTCACAAAAGAGCTACAAGAAAAAGAGGACACTGATTATTATGCAGTCTGGCAAAGATGGTATTCCTGGCTAGAGGGAAAGATAGGATTGATAAAATAATACTTATGCAAAATCTAACCAAGAAACATAGACAATCACATAGGAGGAAGACCGCATGACTGTATGTATAAATAGTTAGAACGGTTATTAGAAGGATATATAGAAGTAATAGATACTTACACACAGAGGAAAATTTAAAAATAGAGTATAAAGTTAAGTCTTGGACGTGTAAAAAAGTAAAAACAAGTAAGCACATAAAATAGATCTCTAATAGACAAATAGAGGTGAAACAGAAAATAATCACCAATGTAACAGCTCTCTAGAAGTCAGCCGATAGGCTGAAACAATGTTAGTTGTTATTTAGTTAGTATGTTTTTCCTGTATTGTCTTTATGTATACATGTTTGTAAGTATTTTTGTCTGTTTAATAATTTATTTATTTTTTTAAAAAGAAGAAGAGATTGGACAGCCATTCATCTGGAATGGCATAGGGTCTCCTGCTTGAGTAGGAGATTGGTCCCTTCAATTATGTTGCTCTATATTTCTCATCACCATTGTAATTACAAATGGTCACTAAATGAGGCAGTTACTAAACAAGGACTATCTATAATTTGTCTCTTCCATCAACGATTTGTTCTGTGGCAGAAGATTAAAGATACAATTTTGTGCCATAATATTGCATGCCAACCTCCTCCACTGGCAAATAATCCTTTAATGCTATTCTGCAAAAAATATTCTCAGTAAAATGTATTCATGCCCTGGCCTGACCCAGCTCTCTCAGTGAGCCACTGGGTCCTAAAGGACAGAAAAAGAAGATTAACAGAGTTTCCTGTATTGGCTGAGTTCTTCCTGGGTAGTGGGGTCCCCTTATAGTCTTGGTTTTTGCTCAGTCGTAGATCCCACATCTTTGTTAGTTCCCTAATTTTGAACTGACCTACCACACTCTATAGGCTCACCTCTATCTCCAATGCCCTTTCAGTTATCTTATTTAGTATCATATCAATCTTGTGAAAGAGGTCATTATTACTACTTCAAATTAAAATCCATGCTGGCTATAAATGTATTGCGAGCTTTCACTGCTTCTGAAGCCAATCTTGGATAAAATGAGATCATGCATTTGTTTTTCATCCTACTTTTTACTGTGAACAGGATTGTTAAACGTAGTTAAGAAGCCAAGGATTTTTGTTTAGCTGTAGGTGCTGGTTATACAGAGATACAATGATTGAAAAGAAAGAAAATGCTTTCTAGAAACATCTCTTCATCCACATTTTGTTAAGTTAAAAAACTGTAACATCAGGCTGCACAGCTTTTCACATTGTTCACTGAAGAAAAATCAGGAAATACCACTTAAAAGTTACACATCTTTCTTTTTCATCCCAACTATTTACCTACAAGTTGAATATCCCTGATAATCATCAGGAAGTCTCTGTGCTATATAGACGTGGCTTGTCTCACCTTTGCTCCTGGTAGTCAAATCTTGCATCTCCACCAACTCTTGCTCAGCCAAACTGCTCTGCTCCTTAATTAGCTGGTGGAAGGAATCATGCACGGCCCCTTCATCATATGGACTTAGGTCTTGGCTGTGGGGAACAGAGAACCGGTCTGCCCAACTGTTTAATTAACAGGATCCCTAAAACAACAGTCTCTAACTAACATCTCACCAACTTCACATGGGATTTAGTTAGTAGTTGGGAATATGTAGTGACTAAACGGAAGGAGGCAAAACATATTAGAACATTACAGTTCATATAGCAAACCATGACAGAGTCTAAGACGCAGACAGAATACATAAGAGGGATGGAGAATAACTAACCACGTGATCAAACATGGTTTACAAAGACTTCCCCTCAGGGCCTTCAGAGCCTTATGTAAGCATCTACTAATGGGCACCCAGGAGATCTACATAATGAGAGTGAAACCAAAGCCGTATATGTTTAAACAATAAACTACAAACAAATAACAAAAGTCTTGATTATTACATCTTGGAAAGTAGTTTTGTAAGGTAGGCATTAATCTCAGCATCATATCTTTTAGTGCTCTAATTGCATTTTATTGTTCCATTTTTATTTCTAATTTAATTAAACTGTTAACATATTTCCATCCAAATTCTGTAAATCCTTATTGCATAGCTGTATACTGTTCTGGTATGTTCTGTCCTAAGTCTGGGGAAATAAGGATTATCTACCAATCTAATATTGAGGTAGAATCAATCAATTCCTGTCTCTTCCAGAATTTGTAATATATGAATCTGAACTTTTGATCTCTGTGGCTAAAATTCTATTAATAGTAATTTGTGAATCTTAGTACCATATGGTTCAATAATGGACAAAACATGTTTCACATGTCTTAACATCAGATCTAAGGCAGTGATACTCAAAACATTTAGAAGCAATGACTAATATTTTCCTAACACTGTAGACTATTCTGAGAATAACTGAAATCATGGTAGGGCAATTTATGCACTACCCACTCATTCCCAAGGATCTACATTGGAGGTTATAAATAGTCCTGATAGTAGAGAATTTTTGTAGCTCAAGGTTGAACTTTGGGGTCCTTGGTGCTCTCTAAGCTTGGTGGTTTTCTTGCCAATATTTCATTACCAAACTAGGTAACATCATCAGTGCATATAAATAGTCCATCAACTTTTTTTTCCAATGTTGATAATGATTTGTATTCATTACTGGGAACTCCTCTCTCCAGCTTTCATAAACAGGCAACAGAACTCCCACATACCAATATTCCTTCCCATGCTTTATGCTAACAAGAATTCTACTTTTAGTATTGTGATATTGTAATATCTATATTGTAATTCAATATAGAAAAAGAAAAGTCTTATTTTCAGGCTTTTGAAAAGGAGCTTTGCTTTGAAATCAATACATGCTAATTTTCAGCTTTGTACATAATTTGGAAGTACTCTAACCATCTGATGACATGCTTTCTTTTCCAAAGGGAGAAATGAATATAGTTCCCATATACTTTTTAAAAATGTGCTTATTTAAAAAAGAACCACACTCACCTGGTAGGATCTCCATTCTCAAAGTCCTGAAAGGTGAAAGACACCGTGTGGGACATTTTGATAAATAACTCCACAAGTAATTTGCTCGCCTCTGCACTTTTCAGTTCCACCACATTTCCAAATGTAGGTTACAGAAAGAATCAATGTCACATGAAGCTGGTTACATTGAGACGATTCGGGATCCACATCTTCTAACAAATTGTTCAGACTGTGGTCTAATATCTGATGTCTTCTTGTTCCCTCTCAAGATCGAAGAACAGCAGGCCACTACGTTCAAGCCTACATGCCATAAAGAACACAACTTGAGACTCACAAAGCTGTACTGGGCTCTCCCGCCTCTTCCTACTACAAGATTTAGAAAGTGTGTATCACAAGAGCTGCCTGGTCTGCTGTGAGCAAATCACACAAAAAGGAAGGAAAACAAGGTCGAGACAAAGGCTGCAATTCAAGCTGGATGCCTGCATTTCAGATAATGCAAATACAGCTGCTGGTGCTCAAACTTCGTAATTCTCTGACTTACAGTAGAAAAGCCAATCATTTCTGCAAAGGAAAGCAGAAGCTCCCTTGCACTTACCTGCAGCTGCATCTCTGGCTTTCACTACCAGAAGACTTAACATAAAAGTTTCTCTTGACTATCTCAATCCTTGTCAAGCAGCCCAGCTGTCACTAAGGGAGATAAGTAACTCTGCATTTCAATACTCCAGGATGGGCTAGGCTTCCAAGGGTTAGTAAAGCCCAGTTCCTGCATTCCTGAGAGGAGAATGTGAGTGAACACCAGCAAATGAAGCAACCAAGCTTCCTGCCTGACAGGAAGTTTGTTTCTACCACTGACTGTGCAGGTTCAGAGGGCTAAAACTCTCAATAGAGCATGAGAAGAATGAAGAAAGGAAGTGAGTTTGTTGCCTATGAAAGATAAAAACGGAGCATCCTGTCAGGGTTCAACACCAGGAAGCTCTCTGGCTCGTTCCCTGCCACCCAGCTCAGCAAGAGTTGCAACATGCTTTTACTGTATTCAGAAAGATATTTTGTTTTTCTGTAGAAGACGCTAGTACTTTGCTATACTGATAGCAAAGAACTTTATGGTATCTTTGCTTTTTGAAATTATAAACTTGTGGTTTAAGTATAAGGTCAGTACATACACTATTCTTGGGGAAGTGATTAAGTAATTATCTTCACCAGGACAGCTCTTGACTGGGAAAAAAAACCCCACTTCTGCTTCTCTGTCTGAACTCGCTCACATTATTTATCATTCCCTTTAAGAAAGGTTGCATACTGTGGCTGTTGATGTATCTGGCTTTTTGGAGATCTTAGGACCTTGTCATGCAGGGTGGGGCAAAATAAAACTTCATTAAAATGACAAGAAAAAGACAGCAGCAAACCAGTCTTGACCTGTTTTAATATAAAAAATGTGATTTTAAGTGGAGCTTGCAACAATATGTTGCATATTTTTATCTTCTGATACAAGGACAAGGATGGTCCACCCCAGAAGTCGAACATGGACTATCAGACGTCTTTGTTCCAGCCTGATAAAGACAGAATCCAAACTTCTGAGGGAACTCAAGAGTGTTCTGAAACACAAATCCTTGAGCTTTGTTATGTATTCTCACCTCCCCTGTTGCAAAAATTGGAAGCCAGTTCCAGCTTAGACACAGCTTCAGGCAGATTGTTGTGAAGTAGCAGCTTTCAGTGCTTTGTAGAGCCTTAATCTTTTCCTGACCCCAAACTACACAAGGGGTAAACAAAGCTAGAGTCATGGCTTTGGGGAACTATGGGTGTGGCAACAAATGAACAGTCCCAGGAAATTTAGCTTACCTAACAGCTGCTGTTTTGAGGTTTTCAGAAAATCCTGAAGCCTGAACTACTACTTCTTGATATTCCACACTTTAAAATATTGGGCCTCAGCTAGGCAACCTTTGTCATCCTTGCTGAACAAATGAGGCAGCAGCAAAACTCTGGAACTTTATTTCTTTCCTGGAGTTGATGGCTCTCCCAATCCTCTTGTTTGAAGGAAAGCATGTAGTACAGAATGAGCCAAACAGGAATTCCCCAGTACTGGCTGGGGAATTCTGGGAATTGAAGTCTACAAGTCTTAAAGTTGCCAAGGCTGAACACCCCTGCTCTATATGGAATGTCTTTTCACATCCAGGAGATGGCAGGGAGAACATCCTTGCTCATCTCTCGAAGCAAGTAAAAGTATCCCTTTCTTAACAGAACAACAGAGTTGGAAGGGACCTTGGAGGACTTCTAGTCCAACCCCCTGCTCAGACAGGAAACCCTATACCATTTCAGATAAATGGTTGTCCAATCTCTTCTTAAAAACCTCCAGTGTTGGAGCACCCAGAACTTCTGGAGGCAAGTTGTTCCCCTGATTAATTGTTCTCACTGTCAGGAAATTTCTCCTTAGTTTTAGGTTGCTTCTCTCCTTGATTAGTTTCCATTCATTGCTTCTTGTCCTGCTTTTAGATGCTTTGGAGAATAGGTTGACCACCCCCCTCTTCTTTGTGGCAACCTATTAGATATTGGAACATTCTTCACAGAGAAGGAAAACAATTCCCCCACTAGCAAGTTCTGAAAGGAAGAAAGTCTTGGGAGAATGAATTGTCTCTCCATAAATTTTGGTTTGCCAGGATGTTTGAGGAACAGAAAGACTAATGGACCAGCTCCACTTCTTTATTCTCATGTTCAAACCAGCTCCACTTCTTTATTTTCCTAGCTATCAGCTGGTTTATTCTGCTATTATCACATCTTTGGATTTTTCTGAGCAAACCTCTCGGTCAATGTTTCTCAACCTTAGCAACTTTAAGATGAGTGGATGTCCACTCCCAGAATTCCCCAGCCACCATACTGGGTAGGAATTTTTTGGAAGCTTGAGACCACACTTGATTGGTGGTTTCACTTAACCAAGGATTCAGCATGCTCTGGTACCGGTTTTTCTGCAATGTTCCATGACACTGCTTTCATCTTGTTCCCAACCCATGAGTGAGAGAGTCTTCAGTCACCTTTAGCTATACTTGGTTAAATTAGTACGTTTCTGCTTATTATGACATTGCCAGGGGCAGTCTGAAGAGTTTTCTGCTGACTCAAGGATGTCCAGGAGCACTTCAACTCAACAGTAGCAGCAGCAGAGAACGTCTTTTTTTTAAAATCATGTGCACCTCCCTCAATGGTGCCACCCACCATTTTTATTTAACAGTTTTTATGCAAATACAGTTGCAGCTAGATACTGGCACTTTTCTTTGCAACACCTCAATTTCCATTTGTTGTTTTAAATTAAGTAGAATATAAACAAATTGTCAGATGGATAGGGAACCTGGTGGGGTGCCAAGGGAGTTGCCTACTTCTACTCTAAAATGCTTCATGTTTGATATGAGCACGTTGAGTTCTTTTTTTTTTTTTTTGAAAGTTCAATTTATAACCCGTTACCCCAACAGACCCATTATGCAGATTGGCATGACCTAGGATTACACATAAATGTCAAGCTTCCTGTTCTTTCACTTCCACAGAATGCAAGGAGCCAGCTGCTGCATAAATGATATGCATGAAATGCATTTGCTTGCCCGTCATGGCTGCCCGCCTTTCCAATGAATTAGAAGCCTTTTGTCCTGCTTTGGCACCAATTCAACTGAATAGCAAAACTTTACCACTGTCTAAGCCATTCAAGGCGATGTGTATACTTTCTTCAATCTGATTTGGAGGGTATCTTCTCAGGTGAGCCTTGATCTGCACAGTAACAATTATCTGTACTTTCCCCATTTCAATAGTATTTATTTTTTTGAGATGGTGTCTTCAAGTGGCTTTGCCATGCATCATAGTTTATAGGATTCATAGTCGTTCCCCCCCCACCTTCAATTTGCTAGTGAGCCACACTGTTTTCTCTCTTAGAAACCCAGATTGGATTGTTTTGTTCAGTTCAGAAACAAACTGCAGCTGAAGATCTTTGGGAGCATTTACACCAATTGGTGTAGCCCAAATCTCAATGAATTTTGGATCATTTATTGGTAGCCACACAGAGGAAGAATTTATAATTGGCATGGTCACGCCTGAGTTCTAAGCAGCCAATCAGGATTCAACCAGCCAGCCCATTGCTCTAGGTCATGCTCCCTTTCATGTGTGCATGCATGCGCACATCACAAAAATAGTGTGCAGGTACAAGAGAATGAGTTAAGAGAAACTAAATGTTTTGTTCAGACAGATTATATTTTCATAAATTTATTCCACAGTGCATATACTGTATGGTGAAACAAAAATGTTTCAGCTCCCATAGAATAACCTGATTGCAGTTCTATATTTTTGCCAGTATCTATGGTGTTGCCCAGAGGAATTCATAATCATAAAGCACAGTTGCAGGGGAAAGGAGAGAACTGGATAAGAAGGTACAAAAGTTATCACCCAACAAACTGGCTTCCAGCAGAAAGTTGGGAAATGACCTCGCAGGAGGTTGTCTCTTCCTAATTCTGCCAATTTCTCTGGCAGCTCAGTACTATATCCATCAAAGAAAAACATAGGAAAAAAGGGTATATCTCCAATGCATTTGGTAGATCATTCCTCAAAATAAAAATTACAGCTTGGTTACTTACCAACACAAGGTTGTCCAAAGGCCACCTCAGCTCCTGAAATCTGTCATAGTCCCAAAGTAAAACACTGCCTCCATCAAGAGCATCCTATTCCACTGGCTAATGGCAATCCTCCTTTACATTCTCTCATTCACGCAGCTTCGGAAGAATGGACAGGCTGCATAACTAGGGATATTGGCTCCCACTGTGCCAAGCAGTCCAGGCTGCTGTCTCATCTTCCACCCTCCCTTTTCTCTGGGCATATTCTTGGCAGTCGCCTCCTTAAAATGAGCTGTCTGATAACACTGGGGCATCCCAAAAGGGTTAGGAAAGAAAAATCATTTTTCCAACAACTCTTCTACTCATGTTCATATTGAAGATCTCAGCCTATTTATCTAGGAGCAAGATTATTACAATTACTGGTGTTTAAACTTGATCAGGACCTTAGCATTTTTTATTTTATTTTTTTCTTTAAAAGTGCTCCTCTAGAGGGAATGATGTAAAAAGTGAGGCAAACCTAACATCCTACAAAACATAGACTTATTCAGAAAAGGCGACAGGCTCATTTTCATTATAAGTACATTTTAAAGTCTAGAAACGTCGGTGCTTTCTTGTTTCTGAGGATTCTGCAGAGTTTTACATTCCACCCCATCATAATAGACCGAAGAGATCTATATTTAACAAGAAGCACTTCTTCTTGAACTTCTTACTGGAAGTAAATTATGCAGTATGTGGGTTGTAATAAGTGATATTTTATCATAAAGAAGCAGCCCCCATTTTCCCTGGGAGACCTGTGTGTTAAAATCTTGCCTCTTTTGATTTACCTCGACATTATAGCTACTGCTTCTATTGCCCCTTTCAGATTTTCAAAAGGTGGAAAAGATGTGCTATTTTTTAAGCGAAATTTTTGAAACGAAAACCCTGCCTGATCCTACAATTAAATAATTGATTTTAAGATTCTCTCCGGGCCAAATAGCAAATGCTGTTTGTGTTTGTTTTTGTTTTGGGCTTGGAATGTATTAGAAAGAAAGCAAAAGCATTTTTAGTGCATTTATTTATATTACATTTAGTCTGCTTTATGGTTTAGCCCCTCCAGGACCAGGGCCTCACTTCAGAGGTCAGTTACTTCACTCAGGAATCCTTGTAGCTGCGTCCTTCGGGTGATTTTCCCGCCTGCAGCAAATCCTATGCTGGACAATGGAATTTCTGAGATCCAGGATAGCGATCGCAGTAACAGAGATCATATTCAGGCCTCAATTTGCAACCAAGAGACCCCCCCCCCCAATTCCTTCCCCGATTATTACAAATAAACAATTGTAAAACGTGCGAGAAAAAGTAACACCTTACAAAATAAAGAAGACGGAGCCTTTTTACAACTCTCGGAATCACGACATAGCCCTGCAGTTACATCAGGTTATCTTTTTCACTCACCTTGTGAGTTATTCCTCCAGGTTTAATCAGGTTAAAGGGCTCCTCTTCACACCAAGAAAACTTTTTTTCTCCAAAGGAAACCCCAGTCCCGGCGGCTAGAACACACCCTGTGCTTCACCTGAACAACAAAGGACTCTGGGAGCTGTAGTTCTTTTTTTTTTTTTCTTCCCTGAAAAAAAGCAGGAAAGGTGGAGCAGGAAAGGTACTGGAGCTTTTGGTGAAAGGTGCTTTTAGGTTTGCTTTAAGTTCTACACAACATAAACGGAAAATTGCTTGCGAGAAGAAAAGTTTCCTCTGTACAAAAGAGTAACCTTCATATCCAGTGAGACCAACTACTCTATCAGGAGGCTTCTACAACTTATAAGTGAATGTTTTTCAAGGTTGTAAATTTAAGATGTGTGGGCTTCAACCCTTGCTAACCTGGAAATTCTAGGAGTCGCCAGGTTTGAAAAACCGAAGTCATCAAAGTCATCTTTTCTCATAGTAGTCTTCTCTTGTCTAGCGACTTCTTTCCAGCTCCTTGGTACGTGCATAAGGACCAGTCAGAATGGGCATTGGTTTGGTATATACGGTAGAGCAGGAGCTGTGGATCCCATACATCAGAGAGGGAGGGACAAGATGTTTTGAGTATTACAAATGTTACATATAAATATTTCCACTCTTTATAATGAGAAAAAAAAAGGAATGATTTAAAATATTTGACTTGCGTGGTTCTTAGCAGAAGAGTAAAAGGGGCACTTTCCAAGACATTCTCAGAAGAGTTTGAATTATGAGAAGTGATGTATTGCCTCCTTTAAAAAAAGGCCCTATAAGCAGATATCTCCCCCCCCCCCACTTTTTTTTATTCCTATACTAGATTGCTTACAGGGAAACTCCTTGCATACAGTAGTTGACTTCTCCTGGAAATGGATCCATATAAATTAATTTTGAGCTGGGCTTGATTCCTGGTACCTTCACAGAAATAGCTATGTAGCTTCTTGGCAACGATAAAGGATAGCTCGCACTGACCGCCTTCTGGGTTTTTTTTTTTCTCAATTTCCCAAGCTAAGGCTACAGACTTGGTATTCCCTGGAGGTCTCCTTGTCAACTCCCAAGTCTGCTTAGACATTGTCAGCCAGGCCATATTAACATTCTGCAGAACTCCTAAGACTGTCACTGCCTATGATCTTTACCTTTAAGAAAGTTTGCAGGATTCATTTAGGGCCAGATAAGTTCTGTTTGAAAATAAAAGTAACACTGGAATATGTAGTACAATCTGTAAACTCCTAAAAATTTATTTTTAGTATAGAAAATCAGATGGACCTGGAAGCTAAGGAAATATTGAACCCAAAGATAATGGAAGCAGAAAACAGGATGAGGACAGGCCAGGGTGAGGGTGAAAACAGGCCAGGACAACTACCTGGATGATTTAGCACTCACTGCAGTTAAGATATTGCAATAGTGTATATACTACTTTAAAAACAATTTATAGCTGACAGCTAGAGTGTCAGGGTTCCAAGTAACACTCCCAACGAAAGGAAATTCGAGGCTTAAGTTTCCTCAAAGTTTGATTTTATTAGAAATGTCATATTGGCACATCTGGGAAAACCCGAATCTGAAAGCTTCCAGGTTTTCCCCACCGAAAGGAAAGTTCAAGTCCCTGCCCAACACCCACCAGTCCATCACATGGTCCAATCCAAGCACCGTCCCAACTGGAGATGCCTCCCATTTCCAGCCGTCCAGGTGTAGGGCATGATGTCCTTGACTTTCTGAGAAAGGAATGTAATTATGACTATATATCACCCATGCTCCATACAATCCCCCCTCCCAGTTTCCCACAGTAGTAAATGTAGCAGGCCTGAAGATCCAACGAAAAAGATGGCTTCCAGGTCTGACATAGAGATCAGGAAGTTTTATGGTTATGCTAATTTTGTTATTTTTACTTCTAAAAAGTGTAATTGTATAAAACCATTCTTCCAATAAATGGCACTCGTTGCGAAACAAAACTGCTGAGCATCAAGCCAAAATAGCAAATTCCCTTCTAGTCTGGTAATTATAATGATCCTGTAATTTATGTTTATGATAGGAAACTCTTCAGAGGGAAAGCATGTTCATTGTTTTCCTTCTTATTTAAAATCAGGGCTAGCAAATCTTAAGTTTTTGTTCCTCCAAGGAACTTATCAGGAATATTTGAATTGAGTGTAAAACATAGAATGGCAGGGTGGGGAAGGAGAAAAACAATAATATGCTTCATAGTATTCCACAGTTCTACTAAGGGTGTGGGAGCTGTAACGGGTACTGTCAGGGTCTAAAATTAGCATGCCTAACTATAGTCAATATCAGTTTTATACTAGATTAATCAGAATACACTTATGAATTAAAGGCTGGCAATTGAAACCTGAAATATTCCCTCAAGCTCTTTAGTTGACCTTAGCTATGCAATGATTGGGTGAAGGGCTTCTATGCATGCAATACCTAAACTCATGTCAGAATTTTTTTGTATTTATTGTCTGGTGAGGGCAAAGCAGAGGGGTAATAATTAGCTGTAATGGTAATGTAGGAATAAAATATATTGTTTTGCATGCTAGATTGATTTATTCTAATCCATATTTTTAAGAAGGTTTCTTGAAAAGCTTTAAAAAAAAATAGGAAGTAAAAAATTCAAATTTTTTTACTACCGGTTCTGTGGGCGTGGTGGGCGTGGCATGGCTTGGTGGGCGTGGCAGGGGGAGGATACTATAAAATCCCCATTCCCACCCCACTCCAGGGGAAGGATATTGTAAAATCTCCATTCCCACCCTACTCCAGGGGAAGGATAATGCAAAATCCCCATTCCCTCCCGATCAGCTGGGACTCGGGAGGCAGAGAATAGATGGGGTTGGAGCCAGTCAGAGGTGGTATTTACCAGTTCTCCAAACTACTCAAAATTTCCACTACCGGTTCTCCAGAACTGGACAGAACCTGCCGAATACCACCTCTGATACACTTGCCCATAGTTAGCTTTACTCAATTAAGCCAATTTTTGGTTCTGTGTTCTTTTTTAATTTACTGAATAAATGCTTCAGTATCAGGCGGGAAAGACCACACAAGAAGATCTTATTAAACCGATTTATTGCTAAACAGCCTATGCACAGGAATCTTTTGAACTAATGGTTAGCACCTGCTTACAGTTAGATAAAAATTATTGGAATTCAAGGATGATTGAAAGTAGTCACTTGTGGCTATAGAAGAATAGAATTGGAAGGGACCTTGAAGGTCTTCCAGTTCAACCCCCTGCTCAAGCAAGAGACCCTATACCATTCCAGACTGTCTGATCCCTTCTTAAAAACCTCCACTAATGGAGCACCCACAACTTCTGGAGGCAAGCCATTTCACTGATTAATTGTTCTGTCAGTAAATGTCTTCTTATTTCTAGGTTGGATCTCTTCTTCATAAATTTCCATCCATTGCTTCTTCCTGCCTTCAGGTGCTTAGGAGAATACATTGACTCCCTCTTCTTTGTGGCAGCCCCTTAGATATTGGAACAGTGCTATCATGTCACCCCTAGTCCCCTAGCCCCTTCAGTAGACTAGACATGTACAGTTCCTGCAACTGTTCTTCATGTTTTAGCCTCCAGTCCCTAAACATCTTTGCTGCTCTTCTCTGCACCTTTTCTAGAGTCTCAACATCTTTTTTTGCATTGTGGCGACCAAAATTGGATGCAGTATTCCAAGTTTGGTCTTATCAAGGCATTATAAAGCAGTACTAACACTTCATGTGATCTTGATTCTATCTCTGTTAATGTAGTTTAGGACACATTGGCTTTTTTGACGGCCATAGCACACTGCTGGCTTGTACTTGAACGATTCTCCACCAGGACTCCTAGATCTCTCTCACAGTTAACTGCTATTGAACCAGGTACCACCTATTCTATACCTGTGCACTTGGGTTTTGTTGCCTAAATGTGGAACCTTACTTTTTTCACCATTGAATTTCATGTTGTTAGGTAGGGTCCAGTATTCAAGTGTAGAAAGAGATATCCTTCTGGGTTCAGCTCCAAGTGGGGAAAAAGACACTGGAAACATGGAGACTACTTGGAAAGATGATTTAATGGTGGACAGGATCACACGGTTTGAGTTCCTGAACAGAAAAGGGGACGAGATGCAGCGAATCCCCGGGTTTTATGCCCTCTCTGGCTTTGAACTTCCTGGGGCCCAGAAAGAGTATCCTGATTGGTTGTCAGACTCCCAGGGGGTGGGGGTCTTAGCTAGCCTTGCTGGCTGATGTAATATTCCCAGGTGCCATGTGGTGAGTTTCTGTTGCTAGATGGGTCCTGTTGTGTTGCAGATGATGGTCCATTGACAAAGATTGAGTTTCTGCCTTTGGCCCCTTGACAAAGGGTGGGGGGCAAGAAGGTGGGAGCTGCTTCATCTTTTAAAACATGCTTCTCCATTTCTCATCCAGGGAAACATAATATTCTGCCTTTTTAATATTTCCTAAAATATTTCATTCTTCTAGGAAAGAGGTGGACACAAGTCTATCATGATCCTTCTAAATCTTCAGTCTAGTGAGCAAAGGCAACTTCAGGAGGGCATCAACTATAATCTTCCAGTTTGGGAAAGGTTTTCTGGATGAAATAAAAAAAAGCAACAGGAAATAATTTTTCAGCTGCACAAATAGATAAGACTGGGCAATGTTTGAAGAGAAGGAGGGGTTGTAACTCAGCCTTTTACTTCCTGGATGACCGAAGAAGACTCTCTCATGACATTATGACATCAACCACAGGAAGGGATAAATGTTTCCCTCCCTCCTTCTTGCCCAAGTATAAAAACGTCAGAGCTGGTGTGTGAAGAGTGCTATTATTTCTACCAAACTGAAATCAGCATGCTGCAAAGCTAAACATTGGCCTCTAGTCATCTTTTTACAATAATGGCTTAGATTCCTATTCATATAAAATAAAAATAGCAGATGTTATAACTCAATTTTTCGGGTTTTTTAAATGTGCCTACAGGATCATAAAAAACCCCAAAATTAAACTATAGATTGATAATAGGATCTTGGAAGACTAGAAAACAAGGAAGTTAAGGCAATTTGCCTTTTGGTCACTCCAATTAATGGAAATCATTTGTGAATGGACCAGCTTTCATGGCAACTTTTTTGTTTCTTTTAACCCACA